AAAGAAAACTCAAGAAAAGACACACGCCACAATGAATCAAGACCACCACCGGAGTTGTGCCATACTTGTGGTGTAACGGGCCGAGTTTCCTCTTTTCAATAATTTACCATCCAGCTATTCTTTTCAATGAGTATCCGGTTTTATATACTTATCCTTCTTCAATTCTTTACATATATATCCTTATTCTTCTATATTCTTATATAAGTAGCTTGTATGCTTCTCTGCTTATATTTTCCAAGTCAATGTTCTTTCTTTTCATTTCCTTTCATATATTATAATCTCTTCCATATATTTTGTTCTAGTTATATTCTAAACCATGGATTAACCTGGGAAACCATGTCTTTGTTATTACCACACTTATTATACTTACAACGGTAGCCTGCCACCACCCAGGATTTTTCTAGAATATAACATCTCTTAGTTAACTGTTAGGTAGCGAGCTTCTAGGCACGTGAGTTAGCTCTTCCTTACATTCCTTTAATACTCTGGCAAATATCTCATCGGGACCAGGTGACTTATTAGGCTTTAGTTTGTCTATTTGCTTACTAACATCGTTACTAGTCACTACTATCTCACTTAATTTGTTTTCTTCGCTATCTCTGAATAGAGTCGGTGCCTCAGGTATCATGTTTAAATTTTCGGTGGTGAAAACTGTTGAAAAATATTTATTCAAATTATTGCACATTTCTCCGTCATTATCAGTGAGCTCGTCGGAGTCTGACAGTATTGGTCCAATCTTTTCTCGTGTTTTAGTTTGATACATTTGGTAGAATCCTTTGGGGTTTGTCTTCGCCTCCCTTGCTATCCTTACCTCATTATTCCTCTTTGCTTTCCTTATCTCGGTTTTAACCCTACTCGCCAATACCCTATAATAGTCCGGAGGTGAATTTCGCCACGATTTATCCTTCTACCTATAGCCTTCCTTTGGCCAATGATGTTCTTTAAATAATTATTTATCCATTTAGGGTCATTGTTGTCTGATCTGAGTTTTTTGTATGGTATGTTCTGCCTTTGTGCATTAAGTAACTCACTATTTAAATTGTCGTGGAATCCGGCAATCTCAGATCTCGTTATCAGGTCGGTGTCATCTGTCAGGTTCACGGCCAAGCGCGACACCCCTTCTCTCAGCTGCCTCTTTAAACTGTCAAAGTTTGCCCTTCTGAAATCTGGTACTTTAGTGGAATTTTCCTTATGTCTGCCCTGAAAATCTAACTGGAATCTGTAATGAGACGAATCTCACAAGAAGAGAATTACATACAAAGGTAGGAAGTATAGAGAGTAGGAATGTAAAGATAGGAAACTTGGTAGCGTGGCCTGGATGTTATTTGCACAGCGTCACTACGCTTATCTTATCTCGTATGTCAATACACATATATCACTTCTTAAAGGGACAACTTGTTAAACACCTCTTGATACAACTATTTATTACTTCACTCAATGACATGGACACATTAATATCACTATTATATCGGGGTACTAACACATTATGCTTTACGTTACTTGACACTGACTATCGGACACACCTGAATGAATACACTTCCCACAGTAGGTAACTCACCCTAGGACGTTCTGACAAGACTCACGTGTACCCTGACGTAGGCCCAGTGAGTGCTGGCTGGGCTGCCTCCTATGGGAGAGTCTGCTTAGCTGGCGATGCCGTGGTCTGGTCGGGAGGTCTCCCTCCCGACCTGAGGAGGGGACGTGCGTGACTCTGCTTAGTGAACCGAGTGACGACCCGAACGGGAGGGGGATGACAGCAACCAGAATGAGAATCAGTATGACCAGAATCAGAATGATAATGATAATCGAATCGAATGCCCGTGATGATGATGATTATACGGAGAGAAGAGAGCAGTGGCTCTGAGAGTGGGTGAAGGGTATAGTACAAGGTAAAGTTTAGAAGTGGGAAGTAGAGGAGAAGGTTAACAGCAGGTGGGCTATCCACCTTGCGGAGACGGGTTTTTTTGTCTTCCGTAACTGTGCTGCGTTAGAGGTTCTTGGGGTTAGGGAAGGCCGGTCTCAGCCAAGCTAAGCTAGGTTGTTCTAAGTTGTCCTGAGGGCATATTTTGTTAGGGGGGGGGGGGTCTCTCCAGGTCCTTGTGGCACTGGAGGGATGATCCCCATCTTTTAGTTATTTTTATTGTTATTTTTTATTGTTATTTTGTTGTTATTTTGTATATAGAGGCTCTGGTTCTTCGTTATCATTTTTCCTGCTTCTAGGCCACCATCCGTGCGATGTGTTGTTGTTTTCCTCAATTAGTTGGTTTAGTATGGGATCCTGTTCTTGCTCGATTTTTTCCCATATTACATTTGCTTGGGTGTGTATTCTGATGTTGAGTGGGTCTATGCCGTGTTCTGTGTGTATGTCCTGTACTGTTTGTGTGTATGGTGGTAGGTGTTTTGCCGCTCTTCTGAGGGCTATATTTTGCACTGCTTGATATTTGAGTTGATTGGTTCTTGAGATTGTGTTCAGAGGTATCGGGGGGTATTCTAAGTGTGGTCTGATCAGTGCTTTGTATAGGTGCAATTGCGTGTTGGTTTCCAATTGGCGGAATCTTTTGAGCTTAGTAAGTTGTGATCTTGCCATAGCTAATCTTTCGTTAATGTGGGGTGTTATTCCGCATCTGGATATCTTGAGTCCTAATGTTTTTCCCTTGGCAGCATATGGTATTTGTTGGTTGTTAACAATAATAGGGCATGGTTTTGTTTTTGCGATGTGAATTATTTGGAGTTTTTGTACATTGGTTTTTATCTTCCATTTACGTTCATAGTCGTTTATTACCTCTATTTCTCTGCATGTTCTAATAGCCATCATTTGTTTGGACTTTCCCGGGTACCTGACTATCTGTGTTACATCGTCTGCGTAAGCTATGTATTCTGATTGACGTGGTTGCGGCATATCTGCCGTGTATACAGTGTATAACGTCGGCGATATATTACTGCCTTGGGGAACTCCGCTATGAAGGATGAAGGTTTGTCCTAGATGGTTGTCTATTATTAATTTGGCCTGTCTGTTATCTAAGAAATTACATAATAGTGCTGTGATATTGGTAGGCATGTCCAATTTGATTATTTTTAATTTCAGTCCTTCATGCCAGACTTTGTCAAATGCTTTTGAAACATCTCTCAGAATTATGTTGCATTGGACGGGACTGTAGGGCCTTTATATGGGGTCGGCCCAGCCGGCTTCTGACCTCTAACAATTAACACTAAACTGGTTTGATCTGAATAGTTGTGTGCAGGTGTGGTCCTGGCCAGGTGTCTTGGCTAGGTGCGGTTGTAGGTCACCGGCTCACGTCATTAGCGGGCGAGGTCAAGTCCCTTGGGTCGACCTGAGGTGTGTCAACCCGGAATGTGGTGGTACCACGAGGTCTGTGGTGTACTTGTTGTTATATGTGACATAATTCTGGGCTGTAAGCTTTGGTCTGACAATCAATCATTACAAATCGAATTTCTTTGTGATCGCTGTTTGCAAGTTCGTTCCCTACCTCGACATTGCTAATGAGGTTTTCTCTGTTCGACAGAACTAAATCGAGTATATTATTACCCCATGTGGGTTCGGTTATATGTTGACTTAGGAAACAGTCCTGGATCGTCTCGAGAAAATCCTCTGATTCTGAGTTACCCGTAAGGTCAGTCCAATCTATTTGGCCAAGGTTAAAGTCGCCTACTATACAGACTTTGTTGTGTATGGAAGCCCTGCGCATTTCATCCCAGATAAGTCGCTCATTGACGCTATCAAGATTGGGGGGGTCTATATATTACTCCTGTGATTAATTTTTCCCGACCGTCACTTAATTCTATCCAAATTGTTTCTGTATTCCTCTCAGTTTTTATTTCAGCACTATGGACACACTGTCAACAAGTATGAGGCGCAGGAGGACACCTGCTCCCTGTGCGGCAACCCCGGACACCGCTACACGGTCTCCTCAACACAGTAAAAAAATGCGCTGCCTGTGGCGGCCCACACTCCTCTGCCGATCGGACCTGCCCCAAATGGAAGGAGGAATGCAGGATAGCCAAGGCTCGACTCGACAAGAAACTGAGCTACAAAGAGGCCCTCCTTGCTGTACGCTCCCAAGACAAGAAAAAACCAGCAGAAAAGAAAACCCAAGAAAAGAAAACACAAGAAAAGACACCCGCCACACAGAATAAAAAACACCACGAGGCCCGTGGAGCTGAAGCCCACGTGGTCAACCTCACTGTCTCCGACTTCTTCCACACCTATGAGGACTTAAGACACGAGGAAGACGAACAACAAGACCCAAACACGAACGAATGGACACTCCAAGAGAGCAAGAAGAGGAGGAGAGTTAGAAGAAAATCTACATCAAGCTAAGAAGAATACCAAGACATTTCCTCCACACAAGAAAACAACACACACAATCTAGCCGACCAAGCACTGAGAATCCCTGGCCCAACCCAACACGCACCTGACGCTTGACCTGACGCTAGCCTGATTCTGTCCTGTCGCCTCCTGGCGAGTTGCTGCTGCCTCCAACTTATACTCCCTCAAGCAAGCGGTGTTTAGCCACTGCACCTATTCTCTCCTCCTAAAATTCACTTCAATCCTCCCTTTATTCTTCCCTTGAACCTCCTTCCCCCATGTCACTAGTATTTTTCGATTCGATTCGTGACCTGCCTCTTTTCAACCTCCACTAACCAGCCAGCAACACCTCCTCCTCCGCCTGCCTGGCGGTCCTAGCTCCCGCCGGCGAGCATGACGACCCACAAGTTGGTCCTCCTCTGAGCACCCTCACCAACCAGCTCTCTCTACATCACGCTTGTAACCACGCTGCCACTTCCCAGCACCAAGCTGCATTGTACATCCAATACAACATGTATACAGAGAGCACATTGTGAGTTTCCTTTCTCCATCCCATCCTGAGTGTGAACAAAACAACCCATCCCCACAGTAGTAACTCTCGACAGGAGCTGCCATGCACAGGCCAACCGGCCTATTGCAGACTCCTTATTTTCTTATGTTCTTATCCAAAAAGATTTGGCCGAGAGATGGCGCGATTGTTGGCCGTGAAGCTTGTCGTACATCTGGCAACCCTGGTCACCACCCGCCAGTTGACAGCAGGACGCGAGTGAGTGTGAACGGTAATTGCGGACTTGAAAGTGAGTTATTAAAAATTAACACATGATACTTTGGCATCCGTAGTGATTACTGAGTCTCAAGATTATGGAATTAGTGTTATATTGGTCCGGATTCACCAAAGTTTGTGCGATGAATATTTCAGTGAGCTGAAAATGGCAATGCACTTCACAAGCTGACTTATGCTAAAACACACAAATGATATTAATATTGTACTGACACTATGGGCCATATTCACAGTCGTTACACCACCCGGTTGTCGGGTTTGCTATCAGGATCGTTGGAACAATATTCATCAGGAGAGCGTACCCGACATAGGCAGTTCCAATGGATATAAAAACTTTTCACCCAAATTTTGATATATTGAGAGGGGATGTATTCAAAACTGATAGAAAATGAGTTTGTTGGTGTTTACGTTTCCATTGTGGATCTACATGAAATATATATATTGCTGTTGGAATTATTAACAGATTTTTTTCTGGTGATGGTGAGTACAGGTGGCTCCATGATGAGTCTGTCACGGGGTGTGATGCGAGTGATGGTGCTGGTGACGGTGATGCTGGTGACGTACATATTGTACCTTGGCCACCACAAACTCGACCATTTCTTGCCTGAGGAACGTCATGAAGGGTGATGTATTACATTTGTAAAGATTCATTATTATTATTATTATTAGTAGTAGTAGTAGATAGTAGTACATAGTAGTAGTAGTATATTGCCGGATGATTTGTTGTCTCTATCATTAAGTTTGTATCTTGGTGTTGTAAACGTTAATTTGAGTAAGTAAGAAGTTTTTAAAATGTGCTGATCAGTAACAGTTCTATCATCTTATAAAATTTTAATTGCTGGTGAAAATTGTACTTTGTAACATAGAATGTGCGCTTACTGTAAGTCCTTTTTGTCGTGGCTTAGCAATACGTATTATCGAAGATAATGTGTTATCAGAGTCAGAATGTAAATAACTTTAAAGGTTATGCAAAACATGCTTTATTTTAACATGAAAGTTTTAATTTTTAGAAAAAAAATATCGACATTTTAGATTAACGGTGAGAGTTTTAGATGTAATATATTATATCACTAAACATGTGCAGAACTTTATTTAAAAATTAAACTTATTTTTTATTACTTGTATTTGCCCACCCAAGCATAAGTCACTGACGGGCCGGGCGAAAAGATAAGGTAGTGTTAACGGCAGTTATGAGGTGTCACCACTTACCTGAAATTCCTCAGATATTCTACTGTCAACTGTTCCTCGTTTCTCAAATAAAACTTACGAATATTTGCACATCCGGCCACGACTGTTTGTGATGCTCAGAGGTGACAGCCATGGAGGTATATACCTCCATGGTGACAGCATACAAGTACTGTATATGACAGAAGTCTAAATGCGTATGAATTAAGCAAATAAACACCATCACACTTTTCATACCCTATTGTGTATTGTGTGCAAGTGATTATTATTATGAAGGTGAATGAAAGTGATTATACAATACTTATATATTTACTGGAGCGTATTGTTAATGTTTTGGATATTTTATCAAGTGTAGGAGTCCTGCCTGTAATAGAAAAATGAAAATAATAAATAAACAAATAAATAAATAAAGGAGCCTAAAAACCCAAACTAACCCCAGAAAAAGAAATATTGGAGACCTTTTCTTCTTAAAAAAAGGGCACTACAATTTTTTGTTTGAATATTATTGTAGTTATATACCATACGGCAATCTTGTACTTTTACTTACTTTTACTTTTATCCTCTTCGCCACTGATCGGCTTGTTAGCCGCTTGGGCGATTGGTCACGTCTCTTTTCATTTATCTTCACTAAAAGATCGGCTCGCTAGCCGCCCGGGCGATCGGTCACGTCTCTGTCACGCACTGTTGGCAAATACTGGGCATGCACCGGCTCCTGAATGTACCTGAACCCGCTCCAGTGTTGGTCAAGTCTTGTCTAGAAAGAGCTGTCGGGCCCACAACAGCGATTAGGTTAAGCTTACAACTTGATAAATTCCCACAACGACTTTAAAGTGTTTTAACAATAACTGTACTATACTGTATTTGACAGCATTATCAAGAGGACCCATCACCAGTGTCCTCTGCCCAAACGCATACTCATCTGGACGACATACTGGCACGAGCAGAGCTTCGCTTGGGAGAGGATATTTTTTCGGTATGTAGATAGCTCTTACAGTACCTGTATTATGTATTATTGCAGTCAAGTTGTCTGTCAGTTGACAATCCATTTATTCCTCTGGTAGATTAAAGTTTAGTGCCCGAAGTTTGGCGCATGACACTGAAACACGAAGGTGATTTAGATCTGCATATCCATTTTTCATGTGGTTTATTTACCAGAGATTATTGGACGCAATAGACAAGTTTAAGTCTTTTCACGAAAAGACGTATTATCAGTGCTTGTTGGAGTTTCATGGTGTGGGAAGGTTATATGTAGAATCACTACGTAATTTGTTTGAGTGCAAGAAATATCATAGTCAACTAGTGATGATGACTTAAAGAAGTTAAAGGACACTTGGTATGAAAGACCTACATATAGTGGTCAGCGAGACTTGCAGGTATTTCTTTTATGTAAATTTATAGAGGCAAATAAAAAAAAAAAGAGGTAGTGGCAACGCAGTAATTGCAGATGTTCCCTTAGGCAGGTGTCGAGGCAGTGCCCAGTCAGCAACTGTGAGCTGGTGTACGACCATCGCCTCCTCGATTCTGCTGACGCTGTGCTCTTCCACGCTATCGACCTCCCACAATTTAAGCTTCCTCCTAAACGAATACTTGAACAAATGTGGATATTTTTCACTCTGGAAGCTCCTCCAGGTATTTTCATGGCATATTTATTTAATTTTCATTAATCACAGACTAGATGATGTGAATCAACAATCAATGCAATATGTACGGTCCGACTAATTAACCAAATGTACCCAAATGTAGTCAAATGTAGCCGCAATGAAGTCAAATAATGGTCTTACATGAATAAATCGGACTGCCAATCACTTCTCGACTAGTATTTGGTGTCACAAAGTAAAAAAAAATTGGAAAACATAATTTAATCTGAGTTAATAGATCGCGTGCATGAACCGACGGAGCGAGTAATTACCCAAATGTAGTCGCATGAAGTCAAATGATGGTCCTACAAGCGTAAATCGGGCTGTGAATCACTTCTCGATTATTATTTGGTGTCATAAAGTCACAAAAAATTGGTAAACTTAGTTTAATCTGAGTTGTGTTAGGTTAGGTTAGGTACATGCACTCGATCTATTAACTCAGATTAAATTAAGTTTACCATTTTTTTGTGACTTCATGACACCAAATAATAATCGAGAAGTGATTGGCAGTCCGATTTATTCTTGTAGAACCATCATTTGACTTCATTGCGACTACATTTGGGTACATTTGGGTAATTACTCGCTCCGTTGGTTCATGCACGTGATCTATTAACTCAGATTAAATTACGTTTTCCAATTTTTTTTTACTTTGTGACACCAAATACTAGTCGAGAAGTGATTGGCAGTCCGATTTATTCATTAGGACCATTATTTGACTTCATTGCGGCTACATTTGGGTACATTTTGGTAGTTAGTCGGACCCCAATATGTAACATAACTGTGTGTTAACTGCATGGTTTACTTAATTTACAATAAACATGTTCCACTATTAATTGTTACAGAATGAATATGCACTTTTTCGGATACTTTATTATTTATTGATTACTTTAGACTCGCTCACGTCCCCTAAATAAGCTTTTAGCCTCTATCCTCTTCACCACTGATCGGCTCGTTAGTTGCTTGGGCGATAGGTCACGTCTCTGTTACGCACTGTTGGCAAGTACTGGGCATGCACCGGCTTCTGAATGTACCTGAACCTGCTCCAGTGTTGGTCAAGTCTGGTCTTGAAAGAGCTCACACTCGATGCCGTCACAACACTTTCTGGCAGATTGTTCCAAGAGTTTACAACCCTCACTCCGAAAAAGTTTGCCTTCACAGTTTTCTGGACCTGCTTCAACCTTGAGCTGTGACCCCTTGTGGGGCGAGTGTCCGCCAGCTCCAGGTAAGGACGCGCGACTGAGTAGCGCCCCTTGAGATGCTTATACACCTCAATTAGATCGCCCCTTGCCCGTCTGTAGTATAAGCTAGGCAAGATCAGGCGCTCCATTCTCTCAGGGTAGTTGAGGTGCCGAAGTGCAGGCACCAGTCTAGTGGCCCTCCTTTGAACATTTTCAACCAACTGACAGTCCCTAGCATATCTCGGGGACCAGACGGGGGTGACAGTGTGGGGTATGGGATGTTTGGGTTCACACACTCAGGATGGGATGGAGAAAGGAAACTCACAGTGTGCTCTCTGTATACATGTTGTATTGGATGTACAATGCAGCTTGGTGCTGGGAAGTGGCAGCGTGGTTTCAAGCATGATGTAGAGAGAGCTGGTTGGTGAGGGTGCGCAGAGGAGGACAGCTTGTGGGTCGCCATGCTCTCCGGCGGGAGCGAGGGCCGCCAGGCAGCGGCGGAGGAGGTTGTAGTGGACGTCTCCCCTACAACTGCTTACAACTGCGTAGCCACAGCCACCACCTGCCACCACATTCCAACGTGCCGTTGCCTAGCAACCAAGCGAGAGCTGTCCCCAGATGTTACCGTTGCTTAGCAACGAAACTAGTCACCGGCAACTTTCTGGGTTTTCCCAACATGATTCATAGAGGACTGGCGGCTGTTGCGGGGTATATAAGCTCTGTCTCTCCATTGAGATTCATTCTGACCATTCTTCTACAACAAGCAACACCTCCTCCTCTGCCGCTGCCTGGCAGCCCTCGCATCTCCTCGCCTGCCTGGCGGTCCTCGCTCCCGCCAGCGAGCATGGCGACCCACCAGCTGTCCTTCTCTAAGCTTCCTCACCAACCAACTCTCATTCTGCCCATCTTCCTGAACAAGCAACACCTCCTCCAGCAAGCTCCACGCTATTAACATTTATTTCAACCAGGAGGCCAGCAACAGGCAACATCTTTTCTCACGAAGCTCCTGCACATCTACCTCCTTCAACACGCTACTCACCGAACGTCTTCTACTGAGCAGCTCCCCACCACACGGCATCTCCAGCACCAGACTGTCTATCATATAACTTATATATTATACAAGAAAACCACATTAGAGTTTCCTTCCATCCTGAGTGCTAGACAACATTAATATCTCGATACCCCTACAATGGTGACTCCCGGAGATTAGCACTCACACTTGGAGGAGACACTGATCACGCTCCCAGTCTTCAAGCAGACACCGGCTCCTCTTCCTGCCCCAAGCACCACATCCTATGACCCCAGCACACCCGTCCTGCCTCAGACGCTGACCCAGGCCCACACACCCCAGCAGGCGCATTTGACGACTCAGTACCTGCCGTGAGGGAAGCACACACCATCCATCGCCTCCACACCCCCTCTTTTCTCCCTCAGGTACTCCCTGCTAATGTCCTGCACCCTGCTGCTGTCGTGGACCCAGCTGCTGTCACGAGCCCTTATCCGCTTCTGCTGACGCAGCCCCTGCTCCTGACCCAGGCCCACACACACCCCAGCAGGCGCATCTGACGACCCTGTACCTGTCGTGAGGGAAGCACAACATTCATCGCCTCCACACACCCTTTTTCTCCCTTCTCCCACAGATAGTGTGTATCTAGACAGTTGTATTTCAGCGATCGGCTCATTCACGCCATCGCCGTTGTCTCACATGAGGCATGCACCGCCCGGTCTGCCTCACATGTGCTAAGCAACTCTACAGACAACAAGTCTCCTACACCGCCTGGAGGGAAGGGGGAGTATTGTAGTGGACGTCTCCCCTACAACTGCTTACAACTGCGTAGCCACAGCCACCACCTGCCACCACATTCCAACGTGCCGTTGCCTAGCAACCAAGCGAGAGCTGTCCCCAGATGTTACCGTTGCTTTGCAACGAAACTAGTCACCGGCAACTTTCTGGGTTTTCCCAAAATGATTCATAGAGGACTGGCGGCTGCTGCGGGGTATATAAGCTCTGTCTCTCCATTGAGATTCATTCTGACCATTCTTCTACAACAAGCAACACCTCCTCCTCCGCCGCTGCCTGGCAGCCCTCGCATCTCCTCGCCTGCCTGGCGGTCCTCGCTCCCGCCGGAGAGCATGGCGACCCACCAGCTGTCCTTCTCTGAGCTTCCTCACCAACCAACTCTCATTCTGCCCATCTTCCTGAACAAGCAACACCTCCTCCAGCAAGCTCCACGCTGTTAACATTTATTTCAACCAGGAGGCCAGCAACAGGCAACATCTTTTCTCACGAAGCTCCTGCACATCTACCTCCTTCAACACGCTACTCACCGAACGTCTTCTACTGAGCAGCTCCCCACCACACAGCATCTCCAGCACCAGACTGTCTATCATATAACTTATATATTATACAAGAAAACCACATTAGAGTTTCCTTCCATCCTGAGTGCTAGACAACATTAATATCTCGATACCCCTACAAGGTGTTGCTTGCTGCGGCTGTAGCTAGAAGAAGAGAGAGCTGGTTGGTGAGGATGCTCAGAGGAGGACCAGCTAGTGGGTCGCCATGCTCTCCGGCGGGAGTGAGGACCGCCAGGCAGGCGGAGGAGGAGGAGGTGTTGCTGGCTGGTTGGTGCAGGTAGAAAAGAGAGTGGTCACCACGAGGTCAGGTCTTAAATAGCGGAGGTAGGCGTGGCTTTGTAGTTGAACCTCCACTCCGTGGGCGGCGCTGGTTGACCTAGACAACGAGGCATACACTGGGGAATTCGCGGGGTCGGCTACTCAGCGACAAACAGCGTTTGTAGGGGAGAAATCCACTACACATCCTCACCAACCAGCTCTCTCTACATCACGCATGTAACCACGCTGCCACTTCCCAGCACCAAGCTGCATTGTACATCCAATACAACATGTATACAGAGGGCACATCGTGAGTTTCCTTTCTCCATCCCATCCTGAGTGCGAACACAAACAGTCCCATATCTCACAGATGCTCAGAGGAGGACAGCTTGTGGGTCGCCATGCTCTCCGGCGGGAGCGAGGGCCGCCAGGTAGCGGCAGAGGAGGTGGAGGTGTTGCTTGCTGGTTGGTGTAGGTAGAAAAGAGAGAGATCACCACGAGGTCAGGTCTTAAATAGCGGGGGATAGGCGTGGCTTAGTAGTTGACCCCCGCTCCGTGGGCGGTGCTGGTTGACCTAGACCACGAGGCATCCACTGGAGAATTCGTGGGGTGTGCTACTCAGCGACAAACAGCGTTTGTAGGGGAGAAATCCACTACAATACTCCCTCCTTCCCTCCAGGCGGTGTAGGAGACTTGTTGTCTGCAGGGTTGCATGGCACATGTGAGCCATAACGGCGATGGCGTGGATGAGCTGGCCGCTAGAGGAGACAACTGTCTAGATACACAATATCTGTGGGAGTAGAGAGGGAGAAAAAGGGTGTGTGGAGGCGATGAATGTTGTGCTTCCCTCATGGCAGGTACAGAGTCGTCAGATGCGCCTGCTGGGGTGTGTGGGCCTGGGTCAGGAGCAGGGCTGCGTCAGCAGAAGCGGATGAGGGCTCGTGACAGCAGCTGGGTCCACGACAGCAGCAGGGTGCAGGACATTAGCAGCGAGTACCTGAGAGAGAAAAGAGGGGTGTGTGGGTCCGCACTCAGGCGCATGGGCCGCGTCGGGAGCAGGGGCTGCATCAGGAGGAGCGACAGGGGGAGGCGTCTGAGGCAGGACGGGTGTGCTGGGGTCGGTAGAACGTGGTGCTTGGGGCAGGAAGAGGAGCTGGTGTCTGCTTAGAGAAGCAGTTCTGCTCTAGGGTGTCTAACCTGCGGTGTAGAGACAGTAGCTGTAGAGCCGATGAGAGCTGCCTCTGCGTGGATGAGCCAGTCTTCCATGTTGCTTGAAGACTGGGAGAGTGATCGGTTTCTCCTCCATCCTGTGTGAGTGGTCACTCCAGGGTCACCATTTGTGGGGTATGGGATGTTTGTTCGCACTCAGGATGGGATGGAGAAAGGAAACTCACGATGTGCTCTCTGTATACATGTTGTATTGGATGTACAATGCAGCTTGGTGCTGGGAAGTGGCAGCATGGTTACAAGCGTGATGTAGAGAGAGCTGGTTGGTGAGGATGCTCAGAGGAGGACAGCTTGTGGGTCGCCATGCTCTCCGGCGGGAGCGAGGGCCGCCAGGCAGCGGCGGAGGAGGTGGAGGTGTTGCTTGCTGGTTGGTGTAGGTAGAAAAGAGAGAGATCACCACGAGGTCAGGTCTTAAATAGCGGGGGGTAGGCGTGGCTTAGTAGTTGACCCCCGCTCCGTGGGCGGCGCTGGTTGACCTAGACCACGAGGCATCCACTGGAGAATTTGTGGGGTCGGCTACTCAGCGACAAACAGCGTTTGTAGGGGAGAAATCCACTACAACAGTACTCCTCTCGCGATGGTCCGAGAACTTCAGCTCATTGTTAACATACACACCCAGGTCCTTCTCACATTCAGTCTCAAATAGTGCAGTTTCTTCATCCCGTTGGGACATATGATAGCCTCCTTACAGTTTGTACTCCCCAGGTGCATCCTCTTACACTTTGTGACATTGAATCTCAGCAGCCATTTCTTCGACCATTCTTGGAGCTCACAGAGATCCTTTTGCAGCTCTTCACAGTCCACTTGGTTCTTGATTTCCCGAAATAACTTGGCGTCATCCACAAACATTTGTATGGAGGAGTGTACAGCATCAGGCATGTCATTTATGAAACAAACAACCGCAGGCCCAATACACTGCCCTGTGGTACCCCGCTTGTGACAGGTACAGATGACGATTTCGTACCATTAATCACCACACACTGCTTGCGGTCATGTAGAAAGTCTTCCATCCATGCGAGGACATTTCTCCAAATTCCGTCCCCTTCGAGTTTGAACAGACTCGTAATAAGTTATTACATAATGTATTTTCATAATTTTCACCCTGACAAAGACTCCCAAATATTTTAAAATTTTCTAATAAACCCTCGTGGGCTCCAGAATATGGTACATGGCGCCCACGAACTACAAGTTGGGGACCAGTTAACGACTACTGTAATTCCTAACCTAGGTACACTACTCGCATAAAAACCCCAATTGTTGAAGAGCAGTGTTTCATCATGGCATCAGCATCAACGTTTTACACTGTTCTACTTACAGTAGTTATGAAGGCTCCTGAGATGCTAAAACCAACGTGAGCAGTCTTGGCCATAAACGTTTAAATAGTACATTTTTAATTGTGTTTGCAGTTAGCAGATTTAATCAAGGTTTTATATATCTATTCCCTCAGTGAAACAACAAATCCTAAATAAGAAACTTCAAATTATTTACATGTAAGATATTGTACTAGCATTTCAGAATGTGTAATACCGTACTGTATTGAGGAGTTGTTAAGGCTGGCTCTTTCTGTTGATTTGATTCATTTACTTAATTTTTGTATTTCAGGAAGATACCCAAAAGTTATGTCTAACTTAAAAGATGAATGTTTTAATATGTGAATTATGGATAAAGGAGTTTCAGGCTAACCGGAGAGGTTAGTCAGCAAACAAGTGGTGAAGAGGATATGTAAATATATTAGCATATATTAAGCCCCGAAATAACATTGTGTTCTGCTGGGAAATGATAAGAGTTTCTGAGATGATGACTTGAGAAAAAACAAGGAGTATGAAGTTAAATGTTTGTTGTATGATCATGTTAGAAGCGACTTTCTGTGCTTAGCTTGCTTCCTCTTCATTATACTGTGTACAGTAGTTCTCTGTTACGCACTCTTGGCAAGTACAGTATACTGGGTATATACGGGCACTTGAAGATATAACACTGAAGTTATACTGTATAAATCTTGCAGTTGTGTCATCAAACAAAGTGGAACTGAAACACCTGCGCAACGTCTTCAATTGGACTATGTCGTATCGACTGGACTCGGATGTGCCGGTGCCCTATGGTCGAATCATACCCAAGTCCCAGTCATCCATCACCACTGCCCCTCCAGGTGACTGATTTGAAGTGTATTGAAAGGATTGTTTAGAATTTTCACAAGTAAAATGGAATTATTACCGAGTCTGTGTGAATGGGAAACGTTAATAGTGTGTGTACAGGAAATGTTAATAGTGTGTGTATAAGATGATGACCCTTAATAGTGTGTGTGTGTGTGTGTGTGTGTGTAATGGAAGATATTAATACTCATCACCTTAGACACCCTCATTGAGACATCACCCTACAATAGACTCCCTCGATCCTTTAGTCATCACAGGGCCGTATCCAGGGGAGGGGGGGAGGGTTATAAGGTATTTGTAACCCCCCATCGATTGTCTTGTAGCGTACTGTATGTGGCCAGTTGTCAATTCTCTTTAGTTGTCTATTGTCTCTTTGTATGGGCACACAAATGTACATACATGTAGATATCTCACACTCAGGAATGAGGTAGAATAGAAACTCACAATGGGTTTTCTGTATATATATATTGTTGTACATGTATAGATATGTACATACCAAGATATGTGAACACGCCTGACGCCAAGACTCTGTTACCATTCATTGTACCATTTATTCACATGTCTGTATTACTACACATTATTATACCATGTCTGATATCTATGCTTATGTCTAATGCCTATGTTCACTCACTAGGCCCCGATATACTATGTCTGTACCGCGCTAGTCGAGTAACTAGAGGACCTCAGTCATTGTCCTAGTGATGTCTAGCAACTCTCCTTGCCCAGCTAGACAACATCCCTCAGATCAGCCTCGGCCCACCTACGGTCCGGGGTCCCTTGTGCCCGCTCCTGTATCGGTCGGCTATCACGCCAAGTCTTGTACACTTATTGAATATACCTACTGCTCGTGCTCTGGAGTTTCAAGAACCTTGTCTAGGATTGCATCCACTACAGTACAGTGCAGTGCTAAAGAGTTACTAGGTGAGGAGTAGCTTGCTCAGAGGTCCTGTTGGGCGAGGAGCTTTCTGGGGGAGCTGGGTGGTGAGGTGCTGGAGAGAGATCTTGCTGGTCCAGTAGGTCAGAGTAGAATGGTCTCCCTGGCCAGCCATGGCCATATTTATACAATTTACAAACATCATGATTAGGATTTGGGGTGCGCGCCAATCACAGAAGAGGAGGCCAGGCACACCTGGCACTCTGGTCCTAGCGTTGCTACGTGTGCGTCCGCACTGGAGAGTAGGTCTACCAGCATCGCTGGATGTACGCTGATTGGCTGGTAGGCGCGCCGGAGCTCAGTCGTCACTTGTAGGGGATGGGGTCCACTACAATACCCCCCTTCCCCTCTGGGTGCGGCGGGAGGCTGGATGTTGGCAGGGTTGCGTCCCACAAGTGATACATACCGGGCAGGTGTACGTACAACTCGGCCGCTGCGGGTGACGACTCCATCTAGTGACACAAAACCTGTAGGAGAATCAGGGGGAGAAGGAGGGTTTTGGATTAGAGGAGGTTGTACAGGCAATGGTTGTTGTGCTCCTGTCGCGGCAGGGGCAGCGTCACTGGCTGGGTCAGGAGCTGGGGCCACGTCAGGAGGAGGGTCCGTTACAGCAACAGGGTCCATGACGCCAGTGGGGTCCATGTCAGGAGGAGGGTCCATGACAGCAACAGGGTCCATGACGGCAGCAGGGTTCACGTCAGGAGCAGTAGTTACCTGAGGGTGGAAAGAGGGTGCCCAGAAATGTCGTGGGCTGGGTCAGGGGCAGGGGCCAACGTCAGGAGGAGGGTACATGACAGCAACAGGGTCCACGACGGCAGCAGGGTCCACGTCAGGAGGAGGGTCCACAACAGGAGAAGTAGGTACCTGAGGGTGGAAATTGGGTGCCCAGAAATGTCATGGGCGGGGTATTGCTGCAGGTGGTAACTGCGGGTAGAATGGTGCAGGCGTAGTTCATGGGGGGTGCTGCTGGGCTGGGGACCCAACGGGTAAGGTTTGACTCGGTCTATGCTGACGGTGCCGTGTTTGCCATTCCGGATAATCGTCAGGAACTTCGCTGAATGGGTAACAACCTGGAAGGGGTGTAGGGGCGTTGTAGTGGGTTGCGGTGAGCATCATGCCTGACGAAAACATACTCGGCAGTGAGTAGTGCAGGAGGGATGTGTTTAGAGCGCCGAGGAGGCTGGCGCGGAGCAGTAGCTCTGAATGCAGAAACTGCTTGTCGTAGGTTTTGGAGTAAGTCGTGACGAACGGCAGGAGTGGGTTGGTGGAAGTCAGGAGGGAGTGAGAAATCTCCGGGTAGGCAAAGGGGCTCGCCTAGTGTGATATCTGCTGGGCTACAGTCCATGTCCTCCTTGTGTGAAGCACGGATGCCGAGGAGCATTTAGGGTAGCGCATCCGTCCAGCTGTAAGGGTCGTGCTGTGCCTTGAGTGCGTCCTTCAGCTGCCGGTGAAACCTCTTTACCATGCCGTTGGATTGAGGGTGGTATGCGGCAGTGCGTTGCCTAGAAGTACCGAGGAACTGTAGGAGGTTCTGCCAGAGTTGTGACTCAAACTGGGCTCCTCGGTCAGTGATGACGGTTGCAGGGGGGCCGAAACGGGAAACCCAACCGTACATGAAGGCGCGGATGGCAGACTCTGCTGTAGCGTTGGGCATGGGGATGGCTTCTGTCCATCTGGTGAAACGGTCGATGCAGGTGAAGATGTAGGTGCTACCGTAGGATGATGGAAGAGGTCCTACGATGTCGAGGTGTACTGCTTGAAAACGTCCTTTGGGTATAGGGAAGGTTTTTAAGGGGGCCCGTATGTGACGATGTATTTTGGAGGACTGGCAGGCCAGGCACTGGGCAGCCCATTTCTTAGTATCGGTCTTGATGCCGGGCCAGACGACACGTTGCGTGAGGAGGCGCTGGGAGGCCCGCACACCCGGGTGGCTGAGACCATGGATGCGGTCGAAAACAGAACGGCGGTGGACGTGAGGCACGAACGTTCTAGGCTGCCCACAGGATACGTCGCACCACAATTTTATGTTCGTGCCAGGAACAGGGAGTTCTTGGAGTGTGAGGCCTGAGGGGGATGTCTTGTATGCTGCCAGGTCTTCGTCGTTCTCTTGAGCCGGTGCGAGCTGCCCATAATCAATGGGTGGAGATGAGGGAAGAATGTTGGATATACAACGAGAGAGGGCGTCGGCGATCTCGTTGTGGATGCCTTTAATGTGTTGGACGTCGTTGGAGAAGTCCGAGATGTAAGCCAAGTGGCGCAGGACACGAGGTGTATGTGACTGGGATGCTGAAGCGAAGGCGTGGACGAGGGGCTTGTGATCAGTGAAGATGGTGAAATGACGGGCCTCGAGGAAGTGCTGGAAATGCTTGACAGCCATGTATACGGCCAGGAGTTCTCTATTGAAGGCGCTGTACTTGAGGTGGGGTGGTTGAAGCCGTTGTGAGAAGAATGCAACGGGCATGAGAATTCCGTTGATCTCCTGCTGTAAGACGGCGCCCACTGCAGTAGAAGAAGCGTCTGTTGTGAGAGTGGTCCAGGCGTTAGGAGCGGGGTGGGCTGGGAGGGTGAGGCGTGTGATGTGCTGTTTGATAGTGGTGAATGCCGTAGCAGCCTCTTGAGTCCACACGGGAGGCTTGTGAGACTTCTTTGGGAGTCCCTTGAGAAGTTCGTAGAGGGGGACTAGGACGGTGGCAGCGTTGTCAATGAAGCGGTGGTAGTAGTTGACTAAGCCCAGGAATTCTCGGAGTTTCTTCGCCGTTTCAGGTTTGGGAACTCCCTAATGGCAGTTATCTTCTGTGGTAGGGGTTGTATGCCACTGGGCGAGACTCTGTGACCAAGGAAGTTGATGGAGGAGGCTCCAAAGACGCACTTAACAGGATGAACTTTCATGTTGTTGTTCTGCAGGCGTTGGAGAAGGAGTTGCAGGTGGTGATGGTGCTCGGCAGGCGTCGAAGATGCGACGAGGATGTCGTCAATGTAGACGGTGACAAAATCGAGGTCGCGAAGCATATGGTCCATTTACCTCTGGAAAGTCTGTGCTGCATTGCGCAGGCCAAAACTCATGAAAGTATACTCGAAGAGTCCGAACGGAGTGGTGATGGCTGTCTTTTGGGTATCTGCAGGTGCTACTGGGATCTGGTGGAAGGCACACTCCAAGTCGATCTTCGAGAAGATAGTCTTGCCATGAAGTTTGTGGTGGAAGTCCTGGACATGCAGAATAAGGTACCTGTCAGGTTTAGTGGCGAGGTTCAGGGCTCTGTAGTCGCCACACACCCAGACCCACACACCCCAGCAGGCGCATCTGAGGACTCTGTACCTGCCGCGAGGGAAGCACAACATTCATCACCTCCACAACCCTCCTTCTCCCTCTTTTCTCCCATAGATCTCGTGTATCTAGACAGAGCTGTCCCCCCTAGCGGCCAGCTCATCCACACCCTCGCTGTTATGTCTCACATGTGGCAAGCACCGCTCGTTCTGCCTCACATGTGGCACACAACCCTGCCAACCTCCAGCCTCCCGCCGCGTCCGGAGGGGAAGGGGAGTATTGTAGTGGATTCCTCCCCTACAAGCGCCGTTTGTCGCTGAGTAGGCAACCCTTTTCGAATTCCCCAGCCTACGCCTCCAGTGCCGCCTGACAGAGCGGGGGTCAACTATCAACCCACGCCTACCCTCGCCTTATAAGACCTCACCGCTGTGACCACCCTCTTTCTACCTACTGCCACCAGCAAGCAACACCTCCTCCTCTGCTCCAGCCTGGTGGCTCCTGCTCCCGCCAGCGATCTTGGCGTCCCTTAAGCTGCGTGGCCTCCTCTGGGCATCCTCACCAACCAGCTCTCTCTACTCAACGCTTGTAACCATGCTGCCTACCCAGCACCAAGCTGCATTGTACATCCAATACAATATGGGCATGCTATAACGAATCTAATTGGTTCTAAAACCTTGTTCGTTATAGCATTCGTTCGTTATAGGATTAATCCGTTCCAGGCCCCCAAATACAACCACTTAACACTGAAAAATATAATATAAAATTGTAAAAATTGTAAAAAAGTGCATAAATATGCATCTAAACCCCTGAAATATAGAATATCATTAATACTTGTAATAAAAAAAACAATAAATTAGTAAAAAAAAGAAAAAACAAAATTCATTGTAGGAGTTTCGTTCGTTATAGCATTCTCAATTTTATAGGTAAAACCGTTCGTTATAGGAATATTCGTAGTAGAATCCATTCGTTATAGCATACCCCACTATACAGAAAGCACATCGTGAGTTTGCTTTCTCCATCCCATCCTGAGTGTGAATCAATATCTCATAACCCTACAGTCTCAGAAATTAATTATACGTATATGATTTTTGAACTGTGAAATTTGATTAAAACAGTACATTAGCCTCAGCATTGTAAATTGGCATATGTTTATTGCGGATTTTGTCCAACACTGTAACCCCTCTTCATTCTCGTGCTCTGGTTAGGGCCATAATTCTAGACCCTCTTCTTGAGTATACACCTCAATATCATCACCCTAAATGTCCACAGAATTATCATATACACATTTCTATTACGTTACTGTATTGTATTATGCTAAAATATGAATTTTGTATTTCAGGCTTGTATTTTATAAAGGCTCACACAAAAAAGGTGGGTGTGATGGGGGGGTTATTTAGCTTACCGGTAGCTGTTCCTTCAAGGATTGATGTCCTATCATAATTTACAGCTTGAATATTGATAATAGCCATTTTTATCTTTACAGTTAAGGATTACTGGGCTAACAAAACCAAGTACAAGATGGCAGCGTGGATGGTGAGCCACTGCGGCACAGAGTCAAGGAGAGAGTGGTTTGTGAAGGAGTTGGTCCAGTAAGCAACATTAATCATACTCTTTCATGTGATTATAATGTCCAAACAAACACACGATATAAATAGTGTCACCTTTGTTGTGGTGTTTGCTGTCTTTACTTCATGTAGGGTCTGCATTACATACTGGTTTGTCTGTAACAGTGTAGTTTAGATGGACAGAAAAATTTTCATACAAAATTACTTTATCATCGTGTATATAGAGTAAAAGACGGTGCAAGTATACAAACATTTGTGAACAGTAAATCAATCCGACATTCAAGTGTGTATATGCAGGAAATGAAGTTGAATGGATAAATGGAGATGGAGAGCATGTGTGTTGGTGCAACACATGATTGTGTGAAAACTATGGAGACATACAAGAGTACAATTATTTGGGTCGTACTTTTACCAAGGAAAGGAAAACAATGCTTGAAACACTCGAAAGTTGTAAAGGGCATGAAAACTACTAAAGAATTAAAGTTATATCAGGGAACTTGCCTGCTTGCACAAGTGTGTACAAACGGCTCCCGGACAGATGGCCAAAGGACATTTGGCCGACGGACATTTGACCAAATGGACATTTGGCCGAACAGACATTTAGCCGAATGGACAAATGGCGAATGGAGAAATGGCCTGGCCTAACCTAACCTAACCTATACAAATGTGCAAAAAAGAATTTTCTATCATGCAAATGTATCACATTGCAATTATGTTATCTTTTTATCCTGTGTTTTATAAAGCAAATACATTGCAAAGAAGAAAGAAAATTTTTTTTAAAAAGGCCGTAAGTCCATTTGCCCAAATGTCCGTTCTGCTAATTGTCCATTCGGACAAATGCCTGTCGGCTCAATGTCCGTTTGGTCAAATGTCCATCGGTGAAAAGTCTATCGGCCAAATGTCCTTCGGCCATCTGTCCGGCCAGGGTACAAACGACATTTATATCGTTTATCTACTTAAAAATCAGTACCACACCAATTTTGAACTTCTCATCTTAAACAGGTGCAAAAATTCTGGTGTGCTGGGAAAATTTATACCTTCTCAGCACACCTGAATATTTATATGCATGTGTTTAAGTTGGCATGACACAGATTTTTAAGCCTACCGATACAGTATAAAAATCTTCTTGACAAGAGAGATTCCATAAACAGCATCCTGCCAACTTTGATACTCTGATACGACCTATAACGGTGGGATGGGATTATTGGAACTTCATTGTATGATTGTATTGTAGTGAAACAGCCACATGGAATAAGAGAATGGGCGACTTGTGCAGCTCAGTAAATTGAAATGGTGAACAAAGTATTTGAAAGAAAAACTAGACATGATGCGTCAATATAAGACTGGAGGAGGACATGCTAATAAGGTCTTGGTGGAATGTGAGAAAGGTGTGTCACAGAGAAGAACATTTACATTAATGCCAAAAAATTTTGTGGTTAACTGTTTTCTTTTTGTCAGGAAGCACATATGGTATTTTATATACTTTTTTGGGAAGCACTCAATATATTTTATCTACTTTTTTTTTAGGAAGGACTCAGGTTATTTTAATTTACTTTTTGTCATGAAGCAGTGACATGGTATTTATTATCAGATAACACTACAGTACTTTGTTACTATTATATGCTGCAATTTTGACACTGTGAAGGATGGACTTATGACAACCAAGATGCAATTCAATTTCAGTTTCATGAAAGTGGATGTATTTGGACGGTGCGGTTTTAAAAAATGTGGCAAAAACATCTCACTCAGAACACTGGGAACCTTCAATCAAGATGAATGTAATGCTGAGATTGAACAGTACATGTTTTACTTCGCCTTTGAAAACTCTATCTGTAAGTCTTTTTCATAATCGTTACAGGGTCATACGGAGCTCAAGATTGGCTTTATACTTTTTTAGGCTCATAGAAACACTATCAACATCTTCCAAGTGCACATATCCGCACACTCTGAAAATACCTGTAGTATAGTGCTAATGTTAAGGGGGCTTTACACACACTGTTTTAACTGACAGTTATGCCTGTAAAGGTGGCCTGAACGACGAAACTGAGAGTGTAAAGGTGTTGTTTTTTACACAGGCACGTCGTTCAAGATTGCTGGATGGTTGGCAGGTTGGAAGACAGGCCTGAACGTTTAAATGCTCATCAGGCCATTTTGTCAGTGCGAGTAAAGTTCTTGTGGTGTGAAGACACATATCATAGAACTTAAGTTATTTTATTTTTTAAAAATGGATTTGAAATTGACAGAAAAGGAAACTTTGACTGAATTCATTTAATTTCACTTTGGATAGTGAAATTATTGAATATTAAAAAAAAATGTTTTGATGAACTATTAGAAAAACAAAATAGATCTTAACACTACAAGGAAATCAGTGCTCAAAAAAATAGACATTCTTAGATCATCCTTTAGAAAAGAACTGAAAAAAGTCAATTTATCAAAGAAGTCAAGATCTGCCACTGAGGATGTGTATTAATATATGGTGTAAATAGGCTTAGAAGTTTCAAATAGGTGGCCCCATTCATTCTCATAATTAAACCAGTCCTCAGGCTCTAGTCCTAGTCCATTTAATAGATTTGTATGTGATAGTTCATCCCTTTTAGATAGCCATTCTTTCACCCATTTTGATCTTTTTTCTGTCTCGAACAGCAATCACAATTGCTAAAGCAATTAATGTTTCATCGTCCAGGGGAGACATGTTAACACTTTAGAATTCTGGGTTGAACTGACAAAACTTACAGTCTTAACTGAATCGTGTAAATGCGTTAGGAGGCGGGCCTGTCTGTTATACCTGTCAGTTAAAACTGTGCTTGTAAGGCCCCCTTTAGAACCCTTGATATGACCTCTTAGACAATGTTGTAATTAGAATAAATGACATGCAATATAGTACTACAGGCTTGTGTTTTTGAGAGGATTAACATATCTTGGGATGTACTTGCAGGTCAGGATTACATTACAGAGAAATTCTTCTTGGCGCTGCAACTAGACGTGATCCCTGTAGTGTTCGGCGGAGGAAACTATGCAGCAATAGCACCAATTAACTCATACATCAACGCTCTCGACTTTAAAACCCCCAAGGAATTGGCAAAGTATCTGGAATTGGTAGCAGAAAACGCAACTATGTACAATAAGTAAGAATAATATATTTCTGACAATAATTCATGTTCAACCTTGTGCTTAAGTTTATTAAGTATCTTTGTTATACCCGCTTTCCGTCACAGTCAAATCATCATTGCGAAGAAAACAAAATTGTCAATAATCCTGGTACTGTATCTGCACCTCGGTGTCAACCTATTTTACTAATTCCTAGTTTACAATAATTCTGTTCTATGGTTTTGTGACTATTTTGGCTTTCCCATCTATATTTATCAAATACAATGAAAAAATATAACAAACAGTAGTGTAAAGTTATTCCTCTTTTTCAGGTATTTCGAGTGGAAAAATAAATATATAGTTGAACTGGGCCACCCTTTCTCCCCGATGGTATGTGATCTGTGCTCTAAACTTCATGACCCCACTCAGTTCAAGCTATCCAACATAACCAAGTTAGTGTCACACAAATGGTCTTCACTGATGATAATAAAATAAAAAGTTAGGGTTGACAGTACCATTTAACTTTAATGGCCTCAACCATGTGCATAAAGGGGGTGGATTTCTTATTAGTCTTTTCTTATTAATTTATCCCCCTGCTGTTAACTTTAACTCTTCAACTTTTTTCTTTCAATTTCTTACTTCATTCATTTTCTCATTAGTTCTGTCTTAGTTATTTTATTTCATATAGTTACTTCAGAACCTCTGACCTTTGGTAGCATGGCGAGGGTTAGGACACATGGGTTACTGTAATTCTGGTATCAAGCTATGGACAAGAATAAAGGTAGATAATGAGGGAAAATAATACCCCTAACATACACTAAAAATGGTTTATTAATATAAAATTAAATTTGTTGAAGGTGTCATTAACATACAACTACAAGGATCAACTCCTTGGCTTTACTCATTTGCAATTCCAATTAGATACACTAGCTTCTTATATCGTTACTGGGTGTACAGTCTCGTTCAAGATTCTTCGAACACTGCTGGAGACAGCTGGCAATTCAAGGCCGTTTGTTTACTATAGTACGTAGTATAATATAATACGAAACAACGAAGCCCAACCATTAAATTAAGCAACGGGGAAGTAAGGAACCAATCACTGATCACTTTTACATTTATTCATAATTTTTACTACATACTATAGTAAACAAACGGCCTTGAGCTGCCAGCTGTCTCCAGCAGTGTTCGAAGAATCTTGAACGAGACTGTACATTTAAAAGAACACACCATGTGACAATATGGCACACTTCCTCGAGTACCAGCAATACACGGTACCTGAGATTCTCTGTTCCTAATCCGTATCAGGACTCTAAGCATCATACCAATGATACTATTTTAACATCAGGAATGTAGCTTCGTTCTGCTATTTTTCTACCTTTGCCAAGAAATAAGTTGTGACCTCATACTCTTGCTATCTCCACACACTCATACTACTGAGAAGATACCTACATGGGTACTCATATGAATAACACAGCCACAGCACACTTTACTTAGTGGTGGACTCAAAACAAACAACACTGCTATCATATGTCCCAACGGAATGAAGAGACTGCATTAAATGAGACGGAATGTGAAAAAGACCTAGGTGTGTATGTTGACAATGAAGTGAAGTTCTCGGGCCATTGCGAGAAGAAGGTATTCAGGAAATTAAGTTAATAGGTCTTATAAGAAAGTCATTCAGATATCTAGATGGTCCGTCCCTCATAACAATCTTCAAGAGTGAAGTGTTTCCCCGTCTGGTCCCTGAGATAAGCCAGGGACTGTCAGCTGGTTGAAAATGTCCAAAGGAGGGCCACCAGACTGGTGCTTGCACTGTGGCACCTCAGCTACCCGGAGAGATTGGAGCGCCTGAACTTGCCTAGCTTATACTACAGACGGGCAAGGGGAGATCTGATTGGGGTGTACAAGCATCTCAGTCGAGTGTCTTTACCTGGAGCTGGTGGACGCTCACACCACAAGGGGACACAGCTCAAGGTTAAAGAAGCGCAAGTCCGGATAACTGTGAGGGGTAACTTTTTTGGAGTGAGAGTTGTGAACTCTTGGAACAATCTGCCAGAGTGTGGTGAAGGCACCAAGTGTGAGCTCTTTCAAGACCAGACTTGACCAACACTGGAGCAGGTTCAGATACATTCAGGAGCCAGTGCATGCCCAGTACAGTATTTGCCAACAGTGCGTAACAGGGACAACCGATCGCCCAAGCGGCTAACGAGCCGATCAGTGGTGAAGAGGATAAAATTAAAATTAAAAGGGAGCTGGCCGTGTTTACTCTGGTGCGTGAGATCATCAGGGATGGACAGTGAACACAGGCTGGCGTGCATCTGAAAGGCAGCTGGCTTGGCAGGCTAGCCTGGCTACATCTCCGTGCAAGTGACGCTACTCAGTCTCAGTGGTTTCATCCATCTCCACTACTAGGGTTGGATGTCATCCTAACATACAACGACCACTCTTGACCTACAGGAATCTGTTGGCAGGATGATGGCGGAGCTAAGTCTGAGCTGACACGAATGTCATACGTTTTTAAAACCTGAAGGTGTAATAAGACTTCACTTAAAACACATCAAAGTCACATTACTGGATCACTTGCATATTCAAACAAAACACAACTACGTCAAATCACTTAATAGGGCTGGGTAACACTGAGTATGAAACATACCTGTTGGCAGAATGATGGCGGGGCTTAGTCTGAGGCGAGAGCCACTGTCTCTCGTCTCAGCCAGTGCCCCACCTCCCCCGTGTTGACACTCACATAGATATATCACAAGCTCTGTTACTACACACCTTGACATGGTGAAAATCAGGCTACAACCTCATTACAATTTATTAAGGTCCACTTTTCAAACTATGCAATGACAGTTTTCAAAGATGAGAATTAAATTGATTTCAAGTTTCAGAATGGCAGTCATTGTGGGCGGGGCGTAGGACAGAGGATCTCGAATTAGTTCCTGTTAAATTCTCAAGATACGTGGCGTGACAGTTCCCTTCAGAATAATTAACGAGTTTCAAAACTAGATAATTGACAAGACTTTTGATACAAATTTCAGATTCTCTGATGTTCACAGATCAAAAAAAATGTAACTTTAGCATTACAGTTGTACCCCACTTAACGCGGTCAATTGAACCCAGAGGGTCCCGCGTTAAGTGAAATCCGCGTTAAGTGAACAACAGAACATATGGGATTAATTCCAATAGAAACCGGCCCGACCCCCAAACTCCACTTTTTGAAGGCACATACCTATGTTGTAGTAAAAATAACATCTTAATTTTATGATGGTACATGCACACATTAATACTTAAGAGAAATAGAGAAATACAGTCGCCAAGTTAATGTCCATTCAAATAATGGACTCAACTCCCTCCCCCTCTCACACTACACAGCCGGCTAACAGATGGTCGGTCGGTCCCTCCCTCCCCCCCCCACCCCCCACCAACCGTCCCAAGGAGATGTGTGGGATAACCTCAAACTAAAGTTAGGAAAATATAATTGACATTGCTGGATTCCTTGTAAGACCAGGAATATTTTGAATATAAATGTCATATATTTTGCACAAAAGATAACATAGTTACCTAGAGAAAAATTTTTATCTAAAAATTGTAAGTTTAAAGCAAAATATATGATGTTTATATTCAAAATGATCACCAAATTATAAGAATTCCAGCAATGTAAATTATATTCTGACCGGGTAATTTGTATGAATTTTATGAGCTAAAACAAATATCTTCAGTTAATAAAAAAAAAATAATCTTCACGACACTATCTGTCAATCAAAGTACCCCACCTTGCCTCCCCCCCTCTTCCAACCGCGCGGTCAGTCCCAACCCTCCCCCCCACCCCCCACCAATCCTCCCTTCCAGAGTTTTTAACATTTAGTATTAAATAATACCTCAGATTAAAGTTAGGATAATATAATTGACATTGCTGGATTCCTTGTAAGACCAGGAATATTTTGAATATAAATGTCATATATTTTGCACAAAAGATACCATAGTTACCTAGAGAAAAATTTTTATCTAAAAATTGTAAGTTTAAAGCAAAATCTATGATGTTTATATTCAAAATGATCACCAAATTATAAGAATTCCAGCAATGTAAATTATATTCTGACCGGGTAATTTGTATGAATTTTATGAGCTAAAACAAATATCTTCAGTTAATAAAAAAAAATAATAATTCTTCACAGGGTAACAGATGGTCGGTTGGTCCCTCCCTCCCCCCCACCCCCCACCAACCGTCCCAAGGAGATGTGTGGGATAACCACTAAATTTTAATAAATAATACCTCAAACTAAAGTTAGGATAATATAATTGACATTGCTGGATTCCTTGTAAGACCAGGAATATTTTGAATATAAATGTCATATATTTTGCACAAAAGATACCATAGTTACCTAGAGAAAAAATTTTATCTAAAAATTGTAAGTTTAAAGCAAAATATATGATGTTTATATTCAAAATGATCACCAAATTATAAGAATTCCAGCAATGTAAATTATATTCTGGCCTGGTAATTTGTATGAATTTTATGAGCTAAAACAGGCAGTCAGGCAGGGTGGCGGGTGGGGCAAATCTAAAAATAGCGTCTCGGACACTCACCGCGTATATGTGGAAAAAATCCGCGTTAAGTGAAAGTTCAGCTTTGGCAAGGCACCGCGTATATGCGAAAACGCGTTAAGTGAAACCGCGTTAGGCGGGGTAAAACTGTAGTTAACAACTCATAGCGCCTCTAGGAACGACGTCAATGATACCTCATTCTTACAGTAGATTCTACCCTGACTTATATTAACAATTTCACTAACAGCAAATACAATTGAAGCTTTCAACATCAGTCACAAAGGATCTTGAACGCTTCATCTGTAATCAGACATATCTAATTTGATGCAAAACAGCTGTGTTCTCTCTCACATTCAAATTTACTTTCAGGTTTTAGAGAAAATGAACGGCACCTAAGCTAGGGAAAACGCATTTCTCCCTTGGGGTAACTCACCAGTTACCCACATGTTTAGTGGGCATAGAGCATAATATGAATCATCAGGTTTCAAACAGACCAGCCGTGCCACTGTGACCATAACATGGGTACTGTCAAACACAATTTTATATTGATGTGTATCATTAAACACTTATATATTGTAGTATAAATGAGTGGTTTTTTCTTGTGTGTATGAATGGTACCTGCATCCATTCTTTATGTGCTTCCAGGTGATGCTTTGATGATTTTCAACGCTCTTTATTAAAGTATATTATTCACTTGTACTGTTTCGTCAGAGACAGGAGTAGAAACTTAGGTTATGCATAGAGTTGTACATGCCATGAAGAATCGTAACACTAAGAACAAATAAGATAATCAGTAGCCTTCACAATTGAAGAGTCACTTCATAAAATAAAAACAGGTGCTGGGAAAAAATACTAGACAGAAACCAAAGAAATGTTACTAATACGTAAGACAAAAGAACAAAGTTTGGAATATGATAAGGGTAATACAGAATAATGATGAAAAAACTTTTAAGTAAGATGCAAAGATCAAGCCAAATATTTTGGGTAGCTGGTGAGATGAACACTAAGTTCAACACTGACATAATAGGTTTATTGACAAGGAACAGACAAAAATAGATATGGTAGAAACAGGCCATGAACAAACTAGTACAATATTATAAAATTTCTTGCCAACTGTCTGTACAATAGTCAGATGTAGAAGTACGCACTGTGCTCCAGAACCTTATGAAGATGAAGGCTGACAAACTTTCAAGTGCATATGTAGTACAGGTACTTTTACTTTTATCCTCTTCACTGATCGGATCGTTAGCCACTTGGGCTATCGGTCATTTCTCTGTTACACACTGTTGGCAAGTACTGGCTCCTAGATGCATCTGACCCTGCTCCAGTGTTTGTCAATTCTGGTGTTGAAAGAGCTCACACTCGGTGCTGTCAAAACACTCTGGCAGATTGTTCCAAGAGTTCACAACTGTCACTCCGAAAAAGTTACCCTTCACAGTTTTCTGGGCTTGCGGCTTCTTCAACCTTGAGCTGTAATCCCTTGTAGGGCGAGAGTCCTCCAGCTCCAGGTAAGGGCACTCAACTGAGTAGTGCCCTTTGAGATGTTTATACACCTCAATCAGGTTCCCCCTTGCCTGTCTATAGTATAAGCTAGGCAATTTCAGGATCTCTAATCTCTCAGGGTAGCTGAGGTGCCAAAGTGCAGGCACCAGTCTGGTGGCCCTCCTTTGAACATTTTCAATCAACTGACATGTATAGTTCATCCGAGGTTACTGTATTGAATGACATGCAACATGTTACTGGCAGACCTATAGCAAAGATCTTCAGTGTGCTGAAAGCTGGCAAGAACCTTGAGTGCAAGACGGAAATCCTGTGGTTAAGAGGGGACCAAAGGATTGTTCTTTGTTTGTCTATCTCCCCTCAGTTTTCTGTTGCTGCTCATTGCACAGATACCACAATATTTTTCTATCAAACCTGGCAAAACTTTTGAGGACAATACGTTGATGAGGTTGTACATAAAATTCATTAAATGAGGTTGGATTTAGTCAAAAGTGCTTGCTAACTGATGAGGTCATTTTGCTTTTATGAAAACTCGGTACAGTATTCAGAAACCACAGGCGAACTTTAGTAAAATTTTGCACGAGTTAAGTGCAATAAGAAAATAGTGCCCATTGAATGGTTTTGGGTAAGATTAAAAATGGTCAACTGGCAACGACCAGTAGGGATTTTATTACTTTGTAATACTGGTTGTGATCACATGATCACATTTTTAGCTCAATCATTTGGTAAAAATTAAAGGAAATAATAACCTTTTCGTAATTCATTCACTGCCGGTTATTATCCGCAAGTGGATGAAGATCTACTGGACACATAAGCTTGAAAGCTGTTGCTATTTATCCTGTGAATGACTCAGATTGTTAGTATCACTTAAGCTTGTTTCTAATACTGTAGGTAATGAACTCGCATTACCGTATATCACGGCCTATAAGACGAAATTTGAACATTAAAAAAATCTGCCCAAAGTTAGGGGGTCGTCTAAACCACCAAGTTTAAAATTCTTACCTCTTAAATATTGTGGTTTAGTGTGTCAAGAGTGGTGATGAAAACATCGTAAGCCACTCACAAGGTCTTACCACTAATTATTTTATACTGAAACTTACGTTTGGCAAGCTGGATTCAAATTAAGATTACCGGTATATTAAAATAATAAAAATGTATTATAAACCTGTCTAACATACCGTAAAAGAGATTTATACCCCTGTAATAAACACAGCTATCATCACACACCCCTCCCCACGCCCCCCCCATTTGCCAGTGAGGAGACAAGAAAGGAAAAGTGCATTAATTCTTGAAACTATCGACGGTTAATTACAGACGCTCAAGTGACGTCACTAGTGTTTACACTACACCAGCTGGTAATATTTGATGCCATTACTTGAAGTGAATTGGCCTTATTTTAAGTAACTAACTATAAATAAATACAAAAATTAAAAAAAAAGATCAAAACTGAGAAATAATATACTGTATGTATGTTGTGTTGTCAAAGTAAGAGGAACAATTGTGTAAGTACGTAATATTTTTTCACTCAAATCCTAATGAAACACTACTGGAGAACATTCCTTTGTCGCAAAACAGTTTATAAATTAAAGAAAATAATTACAGTGTGTTTAATATATTACAGTATATTATAAATAAATAAATAAAACAAATAATTCGGTAAATCTATTTAAAGTAAATGGAAAATAAGCAAACATGTTATTTACCAAGACCCTTCCGTCTGGCTCAGGGTGAGATGGAGGGGAGATAACAAAGCTATTTATAGCTCATTTGAAGTGACCAGTACCCTAATGCACCATAAATAATTCATTGAACATTCATTTTTTGTACATAGTATATTCAGTATATATATATATATATATATATATATATATATATATATATATATATATATATATATATATATATATATATATATATATATATATATATATATATATATATATATATATATTTGTGTAATAAATGTATGTAGTAAGTACATACTGGTAACCTTTTTCACTCAAATCCTAATGAAACACCACAATTAGAATACGGTGGTTGCTGTTGAACCACATGTTGTATAAATAGTCACACCACCGAGACGAGGGAACACTCCCACCACGCTTCAGTGACGTCACTAGTGTTTACACTACACCAGCGGGTATAATTTGATGACATTACTTGAAGTGAATTGGCCTTATTTTAAAAAATCAAGGATGGTTGGTAAAGGACTACTGAGTCAGTGGGTAAGTGTCACATTTGGGGTACTGGTCTTATACAGCAAATAGAGCTCAAAAGCTACTTTTTAAATGGAAATTTGGGGGGGGCGTCTTATGCACCCCGCCGCCTTATAGGCCGTGATATACGGTAATTTTTAGGGTTCTTGCTCTCTGTGGTTCCTGTGTAACATACAGTGTTTCTTGTCCAGGAGATCAGGAGCTGAAGCTGCTGGGGTAAAGCTGAGTGTGCAGGGACGAGACAACAATGGCAGCTACCCGGATATTGACAGCTGGTTCGTGAAGGGAAGTTCTTGCCGCATTTGGTGGTCAGGACAACATGACTACGAGAAGCATGGCAATTTTGTATAAATATAGATAGCATTACAATTCACATATTTTGCATATCTAAAGCTTTATAGGTCTGAGAGATAGAGAGATATTAGAATATCCATGGATTTGTTTATTCATTTACTCAAACAAACAAAAATTATATATTCTCGGCATAAACTAAATAACCCCTTGAGTATGGATTTGTAGAATAAGATATATTAACTTCTTGATTTAATGGATTAGTCCAGTGAGTAAGATATGTTAGCCCTAAGTATAACAAAGCACATTGAATAAGATGTTAACCCCTTAGTATAACGAATTAGCACAGTGAATTAATCCCTTGAGCACGATGTCTTAATCCTTTGTATATGACAACCTATTCCCATCATTACGATAAAACTGTGCTTGTAGTTTAATAATAGTACTGTACTTCAGGCATTAATGATGGCAATAAAATTACCAGCAGATCTAGTCATATATATGAGATTAAGTACATGCAACATTGGTTTTTATGTCATTATGGAACAGCAGTGTGTAAGTGTGATGTGTAACGGTAAATATGTCGGGTTATCAACACATATGGGGACCAGTGTTATGTGAAATATTTCTACCCCGGTGCTATACTGTGCATGGGCAGAACCAGAAAACATCTGTTCTGCGCATCTAAACCATGGAGGTATAATAGGGTGGAGGTGGCATGAGCGGTGTATAGCGCTGTCGGGAGTGAAGCCAGCCAGCCGCACTGCCGCTATGCGTACTGTGGTTGGCAAGATACCTCTGCCAGTCTCCACACCTCACCAGTCAACGACGTGCGTACTGCTAATCTACACGAATTATTGTCCTACTGTTCATTCATAAATACATTTGCTAATGTGTAAACAAGTGAGAAAATTCATTAACCTTTATTATTCAAGAAAATATATACAAATAATGTAATAAACGTGTAAATACGATGTCTTTATGTATAGTACATAATCTTATTGGCCACTGAAATGAATGAGCTTTGTGTATATCTGACGACTGTTTACCTCAACCTGGGTTTGTAACTTAGCAGTGCACTGTTCTCCAGCTTATGCATATCTGACTTGCAAATAGCTTTCGGCAACTGTTTTAATCAATAAACGTATGTGATTTTCCGTAGGTTCTGTATCAAACGTGGTGAGATAGTTTAGGAAATACTTCTCTATTAGCGTAACTTGATAACACTGAATGAACAAGTCTGTGAAAATCTGCTCTTCCTAAAGTTAGATCTATATTTTGTTTGCATGACATGGTTACTCTAAATTTTTTTTCACAATTAGCACATCATCTGAAGGATATATCAGGCCCCCTTTGAATTTCAACATAATCAGAGAAAGCATCTGGCCAACATTAGTGCTTGTTAAGGCATCAACAGAAGCTTCACAGTGTAAAGATTTCTTTAATCGAAACACAACAAAGCCAGCTATATATGTATGCAACAATTTTGTTGGAACATTGGGACAAATGGAAACTGCTTGGAAAATAAATATAATTATGCTCCTCATTAGCTAAAGATGACTAGACAACAAGTTATCTATAACTCTGTGTTTCAAAACAGAGGTATTAATAGCATTCACAGAGTGTCTACCCTAACATTATTTGCACAGCTGCTAGGCATTCCGTATTGGTACAGTTTCTAGTGGTAAACAGTTGCCAAGAACTATATCATTCATGTCATTATGTACCATGATCTTTTTATAAGCAGCAGAAAACTGCCTAACTGTGAGGTTGTTATTACATCCTCCCATGCTTCTAATTTAAAAAAAACCCAATTCAATATGATCTTGACTCATTTTATAAGTCAACAAAAAGCATAAAACAGGATTAAGACATGCCACCAAATTTTCATATAAGCTGCCAAGAAAACCAGTTTTACGACTGGACTTCAGTAGCTCTTGACCATCAGGGAGTTTTAATGATCTGATATATGTTTCTGCTTTTCTCAAAAACTCTATGATTTCATCAGCATTCTTTTTTTGAATTGGACATTTGTAGCTACTGGCATGCAAATTCTTTGAGTACACTATGTCAGTGTATTAAAAATCATAATGAAATTAATAGTAACTTCACAGCCCTCAAATTCACTTATTTTTTCAAGACAAAATGTCAAATACTTTGCAACTGATTCACTAAGTAGCTGTGCAGCTAATTTGACATTCATTCTTTTCTTTATCCATGCAATGTGCACAATTCTCAGTTTATTGCCTAAATGAAGTCCTTCATGTTCTTGGAGGTTGTGCAACTGTTCAATGTACTGTACTCCCATTTCACAAACTTACCATGACCAATGAAAACTTTCTTATCTCCAAAAAAATTTCTCACAAGCTTTAACATAAATACATAAATTGGCTGCTGTGTTACTGGGTGTGGAAAAGATGATTTTAGACTATCATGCTCAAGACTGCAACCAAAGTGCTTTATCATAGACAAATTTGATGCTACTCTGTCAAAAGTTAGGGATATAACAGTAACACCTACTGAATGAAGCCAAGTAAACACTGTTGAACTAAATTTCCTTGTCGAGCCTAGCAGTGCATCCATAAGCAGCACACGATACTGGCATTTTTATATGTTATACACACAAAGAGAAATAATGTGCACCTGTGAGCTGGTGACTGTTATCTGGCGGGACATGGCCGCGACCTTGCCTCTTTTGCCAACCACAATTGGCAGCCGGCAGCTCAGAGTGACCTCACTTTTCTGAGCGGATGCCGCCTCCACCCTATTATACCTCCATGATCTAAACAGACTCCACGAAACCCAACTCTTTGCTCAAAATATCCACTTACAAGTGGCAGTAGGTGATTTTAGTTATTGCTGGTTGATTATAAGTATACTGTAAGTAATTTAAAATAAGAAGGATATTGTAGCTATCACTTGCATTTTACTCCATTTTATTGATATTATTGGGAAAAGGGAGTGGAAATTTCACGTAACACGTCTTTATTGCCGAAACTGAAGATACTCGCGACATGGGAAGACTAACTACCTCTTCCACTTGTTTAATTATTATTTATTTGATTGCTGACACTAGGGTGAGGTGGATGGACATTCAGGAAACAGCAGTGTCTGCATACGGTAACTGTTTGATGAGTTGCTGGAGTCTGACACCATTGGTGATGTGTGAAGTTTTGGGCAAACCAAATTAAAACATTGTGTCTTTGTGGAGGGGGAACATTAATGAAAGGTATTTAATTCTTTTTGAGAAACTGCTTAGGGTAACCTGCCCGCAAATTTGTCTAAATTCTGTCTGAGCACTACTATTGCACATAAAATACACAAGTTAATTAAATGAAAATTTTTAGAACTCAGTATTGTATTATGCATAACTTACTGCAGTCTCAGCAAGATTATGGTGCAAATTCTAATGAGAAATTTATCAAATACTGTACTGTACTGGTACAGGTGCTAAGCTCATTATCCTTAATTTGCTTCTTGTCATCTACTAATGCATTCTGTAAGTGATACTGTATTGAAATTTGCCTAACTTTATCCTTGTCCTGACCAGTCAACTCTAGTCTTCTTAAACACCTCAGGTAGACTTTTCAAGTTTAATCATTTGGTTTCTTTTTCCTCAAATTCTCAGTTTACTGATTTGTTCACATTGTCAACTTGGCAATTGTTGCCATATTATCATAATGACATACATACTTCAAAACATCTCTTTGGTCCAATATCCTTTCATCCACCCCATTTTCAAAAACAGATTTATCTCCCTCTTTTCTACCACATGCTATGATTACCCAAGTATAGTAGCTAATTACCATACCTATACTTGTTGCCTTACATGGTTCATGGATTAGGTCAACTGTCTTTTACATAAGAGATATTTCAACCCTAAGTGTGTGATTACTGAAAAAACCTGCTTACCACTGTTCATATAGGTAATAGGTACACAATAGTACACACCAAAAAATTTAAAATTTAAAAAATTCACTTACAATTTGTTCAGCCATAATGGAGTATTGAGTGTGTGTGTGTGGGGGGAGTGGCAAGGGACTAGAAGGGAGAACAGACTGCCACTAACAACAATGAAGGTGCATCTTCCATGAGGGACATCATAGATCATAGTTTATGGGTTATGTAAACCTGTTATTTTATCATGTTTAATCATCCATTAAGGTCACCCAGTGTAAGTTTCACTTTTACATTCACTCCTTCTACTGCCCTTTCCAAACTTTCTCGGACAGTTCCATTCTCCTTCAGTGTACCATTCCTGGGTTTTATCCATATATTTAAATTAAAAAAGGAAAACTTATGTGTAATCTTGATTTTAATCTAATTAAAAAAAAGTGTGCCTCATACTTATTTTTTCCATCCCAAAATGAAAAAATCATGATAGTGTAGTAAAGTTTAACCCATTCACTACTTTGCTGCACTTTTGATATTTTATTTGACTAATACCAGAGGGAAATCTGTACACAAGGAGTTAAAACAAATAAATCAGACTCAATTTTTTACTGCAAAAGTACAATGAAAAAACAACAAAACAAACTCTGGGTACTGTACAAAGTGTTATACAGTATGTTTGTTGCTGTACATTACATAGCAGCGTCAAAACTTGAAAAGTCTCATTAGTCAATCATGTTACATACTGTATATACCAACATTATAAAACTGTACATTCTTATTATTTAGAAAACTAAACATTTATTTACATTACTGTATAAATAATTATCTCGAAGTTAGCCAAAGATAAATTAGTTTGTGTCCATTTGTTCATCTTCTGAGTCTCTCTCAAGTTCATCTTCAATTTCGGCATCATCCACTGCCTCACCTTCAGTGTAGGGGCCAAGTTCTTGTATCAGTTCTTTCAGGTGTTCAATTAATTGCTCATCATCACTGGGAGCCGTGGAATGTACCTGGGGAGGTGGGGGAGGGGGAGACTCTTTTTAAACCAATTACTGTACAGTATGTACTAGTTTTTCCCATAATAGTTTGGTAATCTTTTTATTTATAATGTGGTATGTATGCTAACTTGAACTGCTCAACATTTCCCCTCTTTTCATCTACATTCTCATACACTTTATCCTTCCATGACTTCTGTTCATAATTTGTAATGCCCACAGTACTTTTTTAATTACCAATCTATATAAATTTGATATTCTCATCTGCTTTACCTCATTCCCATCCCACTTATCAAATTAACTCACATGTATAGTCAAAAGTAATCTCCCTGTTAGCCAGAATAATTGGTGCAAAGTAGTCTCTGGAATTTTTCCGGGTACAGGTATCCCTCGTTTAAAGATGGCTATATGTTCCTGATAAACCCATCGTTAAGTCACCGACTCGCTACCCAGTAGCACTCAGAGCGTGTGAGGCTGAGCTGTAAGCAATGTTATTGTTCAACTTGTAATTTTGGGTGGATATACAGTTTTTTTTTTTTTACAAGCACACACAGTTGTTCATAAAGAATGTGCAAAAAATATCATAAGGTAAAAAACATTAGGGAATAAACATTTCTTCGTGTCAGCTGTGAACTAACTATGTTATGATTATTTTTTGACAATTTTGGCTAGATACAGGGTATCCAATTTTTTTTTTTTTTACTGTTACATTCATTCATACAGAATGTTAAAAAAATAAATAAAAAATAATTATCACAAGGTCAAAAACAAAGGGAATAAATACAGGTATTTCTTACGTCCGTGGGAGTTAGCCCACTTAGCGGAGGGGGAAGTGGGATCTCTCTCTAAGCTGTTTTCTGTCTTAGGTGCCGTGAAACAATTGCATAATGGCAATGTAGTATTATTATTTATTCTTCACATTTACTGGTACAGTATATATGTGACACAGTTCAGTCATGCAGTCACCAAACTGATTCAAGAGACGTGTGACTGCTGCCTGTATGCCGTGAAGTCACATTAGGAGACGGGAGAGTGCGGCTGGCCGCAGTTACAACTCGCTGCCTCAATGCATACATTCACTTACCACACACACACACACCCATATTCTTCCTTTTTCTTATTTTATAGATTTATATTCCATTTTCTTTATTTCTAAGCCACATTACACTATTGTAATGATGTGCACTTGAAGCACAGAATTGCCAGGTTTTCTGTCTTTCCTCCCAAATGTTTCTCAGTGAGTTGAACATCACTAAACCAAAAACTGACCATCATTAAACAAGAACGGGTTTTAAAAATTTCACATCACTATATTGAAATACAGCTAAGTGAATGATCGTTCATCGAGGGATACCTGTACTGGTGCATGTTTCCGCATTGGACTGCAGTCAGAGACACAGAGCTGTATTTATTTATGCAAACATTACTGTACACATACAGTACATTGTAAATAAACAAAATACAGCTACTCCTCGACTTAAGACATACTCGATCTATAACCACCCGCACATACGACCGCCTCAGTCGATATGACCGCTGCAGTCGATACCAAAATTTTTTCAAATGACTCGCGTATTTTCTAGACCTAAACGTTTCCGTCCCATACGAGAGCATCGCGTGGGCTGGGTCGTGTCACCTCGTGGCTACAGCACCCACGCCGTAGAGAGCTTAGTCGGTGTTTGGCTGACGTTGTTGTCGATAGTGATCGCGCCGTGTACTGACAATATTTTCGTTTCTAATTCACTTTAGACTGGCAAGCATAGAAGTGAGAGTGCTGGTGGTACTCAGAAGAAAAGGAGACAGTCAATTACTTTTGAGACAAAAATGAAGATGATAATGCAGTATGAAAATGGAAAAATGGTAGCAACCATTTCACGCGACCTAGGCTTCTCGCACTCGACCATATTGACAATTCTGAAGGACAAGGAACGTATTCGTGAGGTAGTGAAAGGATCAGCACCTATAAAAGGAACAATAATAATGGAAAAAAGACAAGGTCCTATTCATGAGATGGAAAAATTACTTGTGATATGGATGGAAGATCAGATACAAAAGTGTGAACCCTTAAGCCTTCTAACCCTACAGGCTAAAGCAAGAAGCCTTTTCGAAAGCCTGAAGGAGCAAGTCATGGGTGGTTCCAAAGGTTTAAGAACCGCTACAGTTTGCATAGTGTAAAGGTGAGTGGAGAGGCAGCAAGTGCTGATGTGGGTGCTCCCGAAGCTTTTAAGGAGGAGCTAGATCGTGTCATCGTGGAGGGAAATTATTTGCCTAAGCAAATATTTAATGTGGGTGAAACTGGCTTATTATGGAAGCGCATGCCAGAAAGGACAAACATCCACAAAGAGGCGAAAACCATGCCGGGATTCAAGGCATTCAAGGACCGAATCACACTTCTGTTGGGGGGGAATGTAGCTGGTTTCAAGATAAAGCCCTTCATGATATATCATTCAGAGAACCCAAGGGCTTTTAAACATGTCAGCAAGCACACACTGCCAGTGTTTTATCACAGTAATAAGAAAGCATGGATGAGCCTAGTACTGTTTGAGGATTGGTTTCCGACTTGTTTCATTTCACGAGCCAAGGAGTATTGTCTGCAACAAGGGATTGCATTCAAGATTTTGTTAATTTTGGATAATGCTCTGGGACACCAACCACACCTGGACGACCTGCACCCTGATGTTAAGGTAGTCTACATTCCACCTAACACTACCTCTATCATCCAACCCATGGATCAAGGTGCTATTGCTGCTTTTAAAGGGAATTATTTACGTACGACCTTCGCTCAGGCTGTTGCTGCTACTGAAGGTGAGAAAACGCTCAGAGAATTTTGGAAGGACTACAACATTTTAAAATATATAAAGAACATAGCTGCAGCATGGGATGAGGTTACAGGTCAGTGCATGATGGAATATGGAAGAAAGTCCTGAAAAGATATGTGAACAGTTTTAGAGGATTTAATGAAGATGAAGTAATTTTTGCAATTAGTAACAAGATAGTGGAGTTGGGTAAACAGCTGGAGTTAGAAATTGATACTGAAGATGTTGAGCAGTTGGTTGAAAGTGTAGCAGAAGAGCTAAGTAATGAGGATCTTATTGAACTGGAAGCACAGAAAATTGCAGAGGAAGAAGAGAGTCAAAATGTAGAAGAAGAACCTGCACCCCCAAAAATTTTTCAGTGAAACAAATGGCAGAGGTATTTGCTACAATTAATAAGGGGATGCAAATGTTTGACGGAATGGATCAAAATGTTGAGCGTTTTGCAAAAGTTGACAGAATGATCCAAGATGCACTTGCTTGCTACAGGGAGATTTACAATGAAAAGAAAAAGCAAACTGTGCAGTCTAAATTGGACATATATTTTAAGAAATCCCCCATTGCTGTCTCCTCACACCCCACCAGTGCTGCCTCTTCACTCCCTAAAGATGATCCAATACCTTCTACAAGTAAGTTTCCCCTGTCTGAAAAAAGCAACATTGATGACCCACCCAGCCCTGTCTCCTCCTCTGCTTCATCCAGTTAATGAAGTCTCCATGTATAATTAAAAAATTATGGGGGCCCCCGTGTGCATTCAGCTGACTACAATAAAGGTAAGAGCACAGTAACACTGTATTCATCCTTCATTATTGATTACTTTTACTGTACTGTATTTCATTATAGATTTTCTATGTATTATTTTTTGCATTTTCGACTTACGACCCAGATTTGGGTCCCTATTCCCATCGTAAGTCGGGGAGCAGCTGTATATGTACTACTGTACACACTATACTGCACTGTACTCAAAAGCATATACTGTCATCTTGAGCTTGTGATGTAGGCAGGCCAAATGGTGATATGATGATAGAGGATACCCTGCTTTGTCCTGTACCATCTACTGTGGCAGCTGTTGCTAACTGACACTGTCCTCTCCTTCCATGAAGGAGGAATTGTACATGTACTCTATAACGTACATAAAACCTCTAAAGTATACTAGCCTACAGTAGGCTTACACTATCCGCCCTGCTATGTACAGTACTGCACAGTACAGTAGAACGTCGATATAACACGAGATACGTTCCAAGAGAGGTCGCTTTAAACCGAATTCGTATTAAATCGAAGTGTTGTTTCAATGGAATAATTTAGTTTGGTACTTGAGAGAAACAAAATACTTAAAAGACTAAGAGTCTACCCAGATGCACCTCAGCCCATCTCCTAGAATAATAGAATAAAACATAATTTTTTGTTGTATTATGTTAAAACACACACTCATAAATCAACACAGCTTAAATTATGGGACGTGAAATGGTCTGTTTACTAGCGATCAGCTGATGTGAAGATTGGGGGTGGTGGTGGTGGTGGAGGAGAATAGGTGAGGTGATATGTTTGACAGTTGATGCCAAGGTCTAGTGCTTATTTATTTATCTGTCCTTAAGAGTGACTTTAAGTTTTTCTCTTATAAAATGTCACTGAACTGACTTGTTCTAATTAATTTTATTACAAAGGGCTAAATTTTTTATCTCTTTAGCAAAATATATGACGTTTATATGCTAATTATTCGTTGTCTTGCAAGGAATCTAGCACTGCAAATTATATTCTCCTAACTTTAGTTCGTGATATCATATAAGATAAAAACTGTAAGTTTATAACCATCAAACCCTGGCTGGGAAGATGGGGGAGAGGGAGGGAGAGAGGGGGGGGAAGTGACAGTGACATGTTGTGACGAAGGTGTGGTGAAGTATTTACAGGTATTTGTTTATTTATGTCCTTTAAATTGAGTTTTGTTTTTTGCTTATAAAATGTCACAGAAGTGACCGGGGAGAATATAATTTACATTGCTGGAATTCTTATAAGATAGTGATTAATTTGAATATAACCATGCTATAGTTTGCACTCGAAAAAAATTTTAGTTATCATTTGGTACATTATTTTGAGTACATATGCAGTACAGCTTTGCCCTTAGGACAGTATAGCGTGCCCAGAGAAACATTAGGCGCGAATTTTAAAATATGATGCACCAGATTGACTCATGCAAAATAGGAAAGATTCGCTTAAAATTAAAACATTGTCCTTAATTGTGGGTGTCACTTTAAATTGAATAGCTTTAAATTGACGTTCTACTGTACTTTTACACTTAATGAATGTACAGTACAGTACTGTATAGTACAGTGGTCCCTCGGTTAACGAGCGCCTCGGTTAACGAGATTTCGGTTAACGAGTTACCTTCCATAAGATTCTTAACTTCGGTTAACGAGCAATCCCTCGATTAACGAGTTTCTTACGAGCCGACCTGAACATGTTTTTGCTTGCACTTGGCGGTCAACCAGCTGTAGTATTAGTCCGCCAATACAGTAATCGGTTCTAGGGCTAAAATTCCTTACTATTTTAGTAAATATCAAGAAGTTTATACTATTCAATAATTTTAAAAGTTTAATATTAATTTTTTTAGTCATTTTAACAATTATTGAACATAATTGAAGGTAATGAAACTAGTTTTATGCGCGCCATCCAGCCAGTCAACACACCAAACAAGCGTTAGTCTCTCTGTCTTTTCAGTGGAGGTAGCATCTTGCGAGACTCTCTTCAACTAAACGCTTTTTTCTGTGTTTCCAAGCAAATTATTGGTCATTTTGAATTTATTTTACATATTGACAATATATAGCGCAGTGCAGTGTTATTTTAAAGAAAATATTCTTTATTTACAGCAAGTTTAAACTTAAAATATCACGTGTTGAGATTGTTTAAATCCAGCATGGGGCCTAAGAGATCAAGAAAAGCGATTTCAATCCAAACTAAGCAGGAAATTATAAAAAAAAAACATGAAGAAGGCATTAGAACAAATGCGCTATGCAAAGAATATGGCATGTCGACATCAGCTGTGTCGACAATTCTTGCACAGAAAGAAAAATTTAAAGAAGTGAAAGTGAGAGAAAAAACTACCAGAGTGTTTAAAGGTAGATCCCTAATTGCAGAAACAGAGAGGTTACTTCTCATCTGGATTAAGGAAAAACAGATGAAAGGTGACTCAGTTTCTACTGAATTTATTTGTGAAAGAGCCAGGGAGATATACGAACATTTAAAGACAGATCAAACTGGTTCTTCAGGCACAGAATGGTGAGGCTGCTAGTGCTGATAAGGAAGGGGCAGCAAAGTTTTTAGTGGAGTGTAAAGAACTGGTGGAAGAAGAAAATTATCTTCCACAGCAAGTGTTCAATGTGGACGAAACTGGGCTGTTTTGGAACAAGATGCCCAAAAGCACATTCATCACCAGAGATGAAGCCTCTTTACCTGGGCATAATCCCCATGAAAAACCATCCCACTCTATTGCTTGGTGCCAATGCCCCTGGGCATGACCCTGAACTTGCCAGAACTTTGGAGTATCAATTTGACTTTGTGAATGTTGTTTTTGCCTCCCAACACTACATCAATCATACAGCCAATGGACCAGAATGTGATCAGCAACTTCTAAGAAGTTGTACATGAAGAAAATGTTTTGGGTGTCATCAGGCAACTTCCACTGATCCTGAACTAACACTGAAACGGTTCTGGAAGACACAATTCAACATCCTGGAGGCTGTAAAATTTATTGTGTCATCATGGCAAGAAGTCTCCACTAGATTCCTCAATTCTTCATGGAAAGCACTGTGGCCATCAGTAGTCCATGATTTTGAGGGATTTGAGGAAGGAACAGAGTTGGACCAGGAGATTATGTCCATTGGTCAGTCATTGGGCCTTGAAGTGGAGGATGATGATGTCGAAGAGCTTGTGATGTCTCATGAGGAGGAACTTACTCCTGAAGACTTGAAGCAACTGGATGAGATGTTAGAGGCTGACAATGGTGAGGAGCAAAAGGAAAGTGATGACCATATGTCAACTTCAGAGTTGAAAGATGTTATTTACTACTGGGAGAAGTTCAGGAAACTGGCTTCAAGGCACCCAGATGTGGAAAAATCTGAACTAACTTTGTGTCATGTTGAGGACACAATGGTCTCCTTCTTTAAACATAAGTTAATGATGAGGAGGAGAGATGCCCCACAGACCACAATTGACACTTTCTTCAGTAAAAGGCAGAGCGAACAAGATGCTAGCCCTCAGCCTTCCACTTCAAGAAGGAGAGAGGATGTTCATGGTGGAGAATCTGTCAGTCCAGAGGTTCCTGACATTTTCATGGAAGGTGACTCACCTTCCAAGAAGCAGTAAAATGCTTCTCCTCCACCTCCACTTCCTTCTCTTCTCCCTTCTCCTCCTCCACCTCCAACTTCAAATTCACATCATCATCATCATCATCATCTAGGAGCCTTCTACATACACACCTCAAAGTAAGTGTACATTTCTACCTTTTTTGTTAACTTTAGGCAATTTTTGGTGAGCTGGAACCAATTACCCAAAAACCCATTGAAACAATGGTTTCGGTTAACGAGCAACCTGCTGGAACGGATTGTGCTCGTTAACCGAGGGACCACTGTATACATAACTGTAATCACTTTATTTGTCTTAACACTGCTTTAACAATTTTCTAGACTGACTATATCCAGGTACAGTAATATACAATACAGTACTGCACAACAGATTGTATGCAAAAACAGCAGTGAGTGAGCAAACAAGCTTGTACATGGCAGCAGACAATGAACTTGGAGTGTCATGATGCTAGAGCTTGAGGAGATAGACCGTGACATACATCAGCCAATCATAGGCATCCCATGCAGTCACATGAGAGTAGTAGCCAATCGTAGCTCATGAGCACTCAACCTGTCGACCCACATGCTCGGAACGGGTAATGGAGAGTTCGGGGACTGAAGATTTCAGCTAACGGAGAGATTACTACATGACATGTATCATAACTTATATCAAACTTATTGGTAGGCTGTATTACATTCTTTCTCAAATACAGTAAGTCCTCAATATATGCAAAGGATGCATTCCTGAAAACCCTTGCATAAACCGAAATTGCATAATATTGAATAGTTAGTTAAATAGGAAAAAATAAGATGCATTCCATAACCCAAAAATGAAAATGTTCCAGACCCATTTTCAACACAGGTCAAGACAAATAAACCATAAAATAAATCAACACCATATTGTACTTATCAATAAAAGCAGATACATCAGTTTGTGTAGAAGAGATGGTGGTGGTAGAGGTTTTACATAGTGAGTGATGGTGTTGGAGTGACATCTGCAGCATCTCAGGGTTGGAATCCATATCAGGGAGTGTGACATCTTGCATAAGGGTGAATTTGCTCGCATTAACTTAATTCCTGGTAGGAATAGGGTCTTTGCATATGAGTCAATTCGCAAATGCTGAACTTGCACATATCGAGGACTTACTATTATACATTTTAGCTTTTTTAAACCATCAACTCCATACTTGGAGTGCTATCTATATTGTGAGAGTGGGGAGTGAAATGAAGATGCGGACTTGCATATTTTGTAATATATCTTTAACCAACAAGTTCTTATTATATAGTACTCTCTCTCTTCCTCACATTACCTGCATGGCACGATGGAGGTAAAACTTGGCAGAGTCTTTGTGATCTCCTCCTTGCAAATAATTGCTCCATCCCAACAGGTACCAAGTATCTACAACCTGTAAATAATATCATGGTAGCATAAAGCTGCTCAAAAGTCTTTAAGCACAGTGGATATCAAACCCACAATATTGTACAGAGGTGTCATTGCTTTACTAAAAATTAATATTTAACAGTCAAAATGCTCCACTACCTATAGTCTGTTCACTTTAACCCTGCAACTGAGACCTAGGGTCAGTTTGTAGCAAGGCAGCTGATTGGCAGTGTCACTACGGTTCTTAAGTATTTAATCTACTGTGTTTATATTTTAATATTTTAAGGGTAAATAACTATTCTGTGTTATTCTCTTATAATTATCTTGAAGAGAACAATATCAGAAAATTTCAGCAACATCTTCCACCGCATTGCATGATGTCATGTGGCAAGGAGGATTTTATATCCCCAAACTTGTTCTTCATGTTCATGTTTTCATTATGATAGCAAAAGATTTCGCATTTCTGATTTACATCACAAGTGTGTGAGGATGAAAATAATGAAGCTGTTGATTCATTACTCAGTAACACCAAGGTCTCTACACCCCTCCCAAACACATACAGTATTCCCTTAAAGTACTCTTACTTCATCATTTTCTTCTGTCAGTCCCTCAAGAACCTCCACAGCATGCTTATGATCCGCTACTTCGATGAGAATTCTTGCTGTGCTGAGACGTGTTGTGTATGACAGAGGACACACTTCTACTGGATCAAAAGTACCAGCTGTTGCCTTGCCTTCATCCACCTCTTTATATTTTGGAAGCCAGATTTCTATTGAATTTGTTATAAATGTCTTTGCTTCTTCTAAATTTTGCTTCACCAAAAGAAAACTGGCCTGTTGTACAAAATATGGTGTTAGTTACATCATAATTAGCACTGAAATCAAGGTTAAGCAAAATAATATAAGGCAACTCAATTGCTTGAGTATGTTATCAGAATTTCAATATGTGCAACTGTACTAGGTGGACCAATGATACCAATTCTACAGTGGCAACTGAAACAGAAAATTTTCAAGAATACTCTTACAGAATAATGTTTTGATAAAAACTTCATGACTAATACTATTGAGGGACTGTCTTGTGCTCTACTAAAGCATCACAACTCATTCCTTGTGGCAAAAAATTAGCCTTGCTGGGTGAGTCAAGTGGCTGATTGGCACACCAAAAACTAGTTTCCTGTACTGCAATTATACAGTAGTACCCCGATTTACGCGGTCAATTGAACCCATGGGGTACCACGGAAAGTGAAAACCGCGTAAAGTGAACAACAGAACATATGGGATAAATTCCAATAGAGACTGGCCCGACCCCCAAACTCCACTTTTTCAGACACAATACCTACGTTGTAGTAAAAATTACATCTTAATTTTATGATGGTATGCACACACAATTAATAATTAAGAGAAATATCAATAATATTAGTTTTTTTAACACTTACATTAATAGAAAAGATGGCTAGGCACACAGGAATGGGGGGGTTGGTTCCGAGGCAGAGGGCAGATTATTGGCCCTCACCTGTATCACTTGTATCAATTGTATCACTATCCACCACATAGGCTTGCAGGGCCTCTTTGTCAAACCCCTCAAAGTCCATATAAGTCCATATCCTCACTATCACTGACTTGGGCCGGCTGTGGTGGGTGGCGGGTGAAGAACTCGGTAATGTTTTGATGACTAGGCGACTTTGTGCGCATCCTGCCCGCGCCTCTTCCCGCGTATATGAGTAGATGCACCGCGTAAAGTGAAAGTCCGGTTCTGGCGAGGTACCGCGTAAATGCGAAATCGCGGAAAGTGAAACCGCGTAAAGAGGGGTATTACTGTATGTTAAATAAGTGTTAAAATTACTAAAAATTTTAATATAAAACTTGGAAAATTATTGAATAGTACAACCTTCTTGATATTTACTCAAATGGGAACGAATTTAAGCCCTAGAACCGATTACTGTATTGGCGGACTAATATTCCAGCTGGTGAGCAAGCGAAAACATGTTGACATGATTTCGTAAAAATTTCGTTAACCAAATTTTTTTCTGTTAACTGAATTGAAGATTCTTATGGAAGGTAATTCATTAACCGAGGAATCACTGTACAGTATATATATATATATATATATATATATATATATATATATATATATATATATATATATATATATATATATATATATATATATATATATATATATATATATATATATATATATATATGCAAGTAAATCACTGTAGGTGCGCGTGATCTAGGTACCGGGTATATGCTGATAACCACAAGGAAAGAAGAAAACACGAAGTTCCCAAGCGCTTTCGTGTAATTCACATCTTCAGGGGTGAGTACAGACTAAAGAGAAGTACAAAACAAGGTGTATATATACAGAGGAGGGTGAGACCAGGTCCACAATGGTCAGGTATTAGGTAATGACCCTACTAATCTTTAAATAGCACCACAATGGTCGGTAGTCAGGTCAGAAGGTAAGGTGACCCAACCTTCTCACCTGGTTACAAATCTTCTTAATTACAAAATTGTCCAGTTTGTACATGCCATTACTCAAATTCATGTTGAATGCTTCGGTATGTTTAATGAGACTAGATTCTGTGATGTTCCTACTATCAATTGAATTACAAGGTAGTATTGAGGAGGCATTATCCCAGTCAATGCAATGCTTGTTATCCCTCAAATGAACAAACAGAGCATTGGATTCCTGGCCTGTCCGCACACTATATTTATGTTGTTTAAGTCTAGTTACAAGATCTTTCCTGTCTGGCCTAAGTAAAACATATTACATTCCTTGCAAGGGACTTTATAAATGCAACCAATTGTGTTGTTGGGGGGAGTTCTTGATTAACATTTGTTTAACAGTGCATGAGTTTTTAAATGCCACATTGACGTTCCAGGTTTTTAGTTGTAAAGGAATGTGTGAGAAATTTTTGTGAAATGGTAATATTAAGATATTCTTATGGTCATGGGTGGGCTTGGGATCAGTTCTATAAAAAGTTTTCTAAGTAATGTTTAGGCATTTGTCTATGAAAGATCTAGGGTATTTAAGGTTTGAGCCAATATTATAGATATATTTATATACCTCATCAATGAATTCTGGACTGCAAATTCTCAAAGCACGTAAAAACATTGTTGAAAATACTGACTGTTTGACTCTATTATGGTGGGCAGAATAATAATGAATGTATGAACACACATTAGTAGGTTTTCTATAAATACTGAACTTAAAAGTGTTACCTATTCTGTGTATCAGGCAGTCTAGGAATGGCAATTTACAGTCTTGCTCTAATTCCACAGTGAATTTGATCGAGGGGGCTAAGTTGTTAAGTTGTGGCAGGAAAGCTTTTAGGTCCTCATTACATGGCCAGACATAATACAGTAGTACCCTGCTTAACGCAGTCAATAAAACCCACAGGGTTCCGTGTTAAGTGAAAACCGCGCTAAGTGAACAACAGAACATATGGGATTAATTCCAATAGAAACTAGCCCGACCCCCAAACTCCACTTTTTGACGACACATAACTATGTTGTAGTAAAAATTTTATCTTAACTTTATGATGGTATGAACAAACAAGTAATATAGAAGAGGTTAGGTTAGGAAAAAAATAAGGGTTAAGTTAGGAAAAATAAAGGTTAGGTTAGGAAAATTAAAAGTTAGGTGTAACACTTACGTTAGTAGAAGACACACACTGCGCAACCTTACAGCGCGGCTTGCCCAGGCGGAGGGAGGCAGGAGGGAGGGAGGAGGAGGGAGAGGCGAGAGCAGGCAGGCAGGCGGGTGGGGCGAATCTAAAAATAGCGTCTCGAGCCGGACACTCACTGCGTATACGTGGAAAAAACCCGCGTTAAGTGAAAGTTCGGCTCTGGCGAGGCACCGCGTATACGGTAAAACGTGCTAAGCGAAACCGCGTTAAGCGGGGTATTACTGTACATCATCAACATATCTAAACCAGACTTTGCAGTCCGGAATTCATTGACGAGGAACATAAATATATCTATAATATTGGCTCAAACCTTAAATACCCTAGATCTTTCATAGACAAATGCCTAAGCATTACTAAGAAAACTTTTTATAGAACTGATCCCAAGCCCACCCATGACCATAAGAATATCTTAATATTACCATTTCACAAAAATTTCTCACACATTCCTTTACAACTAAAAACCTGGAACGTCAATGTGGCATTTAAAAACTCATGCACTGTTAAACAAATGTTAATCAAGAACTCCCCCAACAACACAATTGGTTGCATTTATAAAGTTCCTTGCAAGGAATGTAATATGTTTTACTTAGGCCAGACAGGAAAAGATCTTGTAACTAAACTTAAACAACATAAATATAGTGTTAGAACAGGCCAGGAATCCAATGCTCTGTTTGTTCATTTGAGGGATAACAAGCATTTCATTGACCGAGATAATGCCTCCTCAATATTACCTTGTAATTCAATTGATAGTAGGAACATCATAGAATCTAGTCTCATTAAACATACCGAAGCATTCAACATGAATTTGAGTAATGGCATGTACAAACTGGACAATTTTGTAATTAAGAAGATTTGTAACCAGGTGAGAAGGTTGGGTCACCTTACCCTCTGACCTGACTACCGACCGTTGCGGTGCTATTTAAAGATTAGTAGGGTCATTACCTAATACCTGACCATTGTGGACCTGGTCTCACCCTCCTCTGTATATATACACCTTGTTTTGTACTTCTCTTTAGTCTGTACTCACCCCTGAAGATGTGAATTACACGAAAGCGCTTGGGAACTTCGTGTTTTCTTCTTTCCTTGTGGTTATCAGCATATATATATACATATATATATATATATATATATATATATATATATATATATATATATATATATATATATATATATATATATATATATATATATATATATATATATATATATATATATATATATATATATATATAGTCAACCCTCGCTTTACGCGGTCCCACTTTCCGCGTTTCAACGTTTACGCGGTACCCTGCCGAAACAGGAATGCTCACATTCCGCTGTGCGTGTACCCCTTTACACGGAGAGCGGCTGGCGAGCCGCGCCATTTTTGGATTCAAACCTCCCGCCATGTTGTGTAAGCGGCGCGAGCATGGTGTGCATAAGGTCGCCCAGTCATCAAAACATTACCGAGTTCTTCACCCGCCACCCACCACAGCCGGCCCAAGCCAGTGATAGTGATAATTATAGTGAGGATATGGATTTATATGGACTTTGAGGGGTTTGACAACGAGGCCCTGCAAGCCTTTGTGGTGGATAGTGGTACAATTGATACAAGTGATACAGGTGAGGGCCAATAATCTGCCCTCTGCCTCGGAAGCAACTGCCCATCCCTGTGTGCCCAGCCATCTTTTCTACTAATGTAAGTGTTAAAAAACCTAATATTATTGATATTTCTCTTAATTATTAATTGTGTGTGCATACCATCATAAAATTAAGATAATATTTTTACTACAACATAGTTGCGTGTCGTCAAAAAGTGGAGTTTGGGGGTCGGCCCGGTCTCTATTTCAATTAATCCCATATGTTATGTTGTTCACTTTACGTGTTTCTCACTTTCCGCGGTACCCTGTGGGTTGAATTAACCGCGTAAAGTGAGGGTTGACTGTATATAATAATAATAATAATAATACCTCGATTAACCGCCCATATATTGGGGGGGAAGGGGCCGACGGATAATCAAAAAGGTCGGTTAATGTTAAATAAAGTCTACGGAAATAACATACATTTTCAAAGTACCTATCCCTAACCTACCTCATATAAGTTCCTCTAGTATTCATTTTTGTTCATTTAAGAACATAAGAACATAAGAAAATAAGGAGTCTG